GCTATGTTTATTCGAATGTATTTGCGGTCGGCGGTAGTTGTATGTACGTGTGCGCTATATACGTTTAAATCAAGCTTCGATGGACGCTGAATCGAGCGTCATTTATTTTATACCTTGCGCTATAGATGTGTCTGTATAGAGATCAGTAACTACAGCGCGGCTGCTTCTCTTTCTCTCTCTCTCTCTCTCTGTGATCATGCCCTCTGCTGCTACTCGTAAACCTGTTCGCTTGAAGAAGAAGAAAAAACGAAGAAAAAGTCCGTAGAAAATTAGAGCTCGATGTCCCGATAAGCTCGGCTTGTCCCCTTTTGAATAAAGAGAACAATAGGCCAGACGACGACGAAGAAGACTATGCGGCGAGGTTGGCTGGCTGCTGCATGCCTTCTGGATGGGACAAAGGGACTCTTGCCATGCACCGACGACGACGACGACGTCGACTGCAGCAGCAGCACACACAACTGCTGGTGCTGCTCTCCTCTCATGTAAATCATTAATTATCTCGTTACGTATTATATATGTACACATACGAGAAGCAAGTGCATTGCGGCAGTAGCAGTAGCCCATATAAGAAAGCTATATGCTTGAATATACGCCGCGACCCGATGTCGCCTCTCTTGAAAGCACGCGCGGGCGGGCAGCGCAGGCGGCGGTGGCGGTGGCGGCATTCCTTGTTGCCAATTATCGGAACAACGACAAATAAAGCAACAACCGAGCCCCGCAGCCGCGACGATGTATGAATAATCCCGGCAATTGTAGCACTGACTTTTCTATACATATTATCGACGTCACACTTGACTCTCGTTCTTTGCAACTTTCTTATCAATTTCGACAATTTGTGACCATCGAGCCCGTAATATGGTTCCGAGGTATATTGTATGCTACTGGCTTCGCGCGCCGATCGTTCCATATTTTGTATTAATACATTATACACTTTATACATTGTAGTCAAAAGCGAAATAGCCGGTGCACGCACGTCGATTTTCGTAGTCTGATTAATCGCTTTTAATATATTTGATTGAGCGCAATTTTACAGTTTAAAACGCGCCCCCAATCTTTGGACTAGCTATATAAATTCCTTTTTTTTTAACTTGGAAAAAAAATAATAAAAGGGTGCCGAGAAAGGGACAGCTGCCGGCCACTACCACGATATTATGGGTATATATTATATGTATGAAAGTATGTGTCGGAAGAGCTCGAAGTGAGATTTTTCAATTTTAATACTTTTTCTTACATCGACGCTCTTTATACGCGCGCACCGCGCTTCATATATTGCTGCGATCCACTAAATCATACATCGTGTACTAGACTGTAAAGGGCCACACGTGTGTGTGTCAAAGTGTATTATAATGCCTACGTGCGTTTTTTATTTCTTTCTGTACTTTTTACTGTCAACGAATTTTGATTCCAGATAAATTTCTGCACGTGAAATAATTTTTTTTGTTTTTATCGATTGATTAGATTGATCAGTCATTGGTACGATATCATAGAACGATATACGTGTTGACATAATGCGAATTATTTGGTGCTTTGAAAATATTTTGAATGTGAGCTCGATAAGCTATTATCTATATACAATGTAAAACACTCGATGGAAAATTATCTTTAATTAATTGAAATACCTAGATAGCATCTGATCGCGTCATTATATCTAAAAATTTATCGTAAAGAAAAGTTACGTCCACGGTGACATATTACTCTATGTTACAAAATTGATCGATAAATAATTGCTTGTTTACGAAATTGACGTAAACTCTTGTAAATTGATAAACTGTGACGGTTTGTGCCACTCAGGTTGTTACGTCAATCAAGCAGATCTTTTATATGTATTAGGGTGTCCATTGTTGACCGCATTGCCAGTTTTGGATCATTTGAATTTTTTTATCTGTTATCATACTGTATATGATTTTTAGCAGATGTGTGTTCTTATTAAAGTACTGCAGCGTATAAATTAGCGTCAAACGGAATCAAATGCTTTTTCCAAGTCGATTAGTATAACACTGGTCATCTTCCTCCCCAGGAAGTTCCAATTTTTATCTAAAATTAGCTTGTGGATAGCATGAATAGTAGTGTGCCCTTTGTGGAATCCAAATCGGTATTCTGATAGTATATCTATGTCGTCGCAGAATTTAGTGAGATTACTTTTAATAGAGCGCTCAAAGATCGTGCTTATCATTGGTAAAAGACTTGTAGGTTTTAAGTTGTCAAACTCAAGAGGCTTGTTTGCTTTTTTTTTTGTTGAACACTATCAATTTAGCTAGTTGTTTAGCCCATTGTTTAGCTTTTAAGAATTACATTTGGGATTTTATCCCATCCCGATACAATCAGCGACTCGAAAATTTATATCTCTTTTCGCACTTTTAAATAAAAGTGCCATTTTTTCAAATAATCGTACGTCAGAATGGAAGTATGGCAATCAGCTTTACCAGATGCAGATAAAAGAAAATTAAATTTTTTTGGCGAAATAAGGTGGTAGCCAAAAAATGTGGCATTGGTTACAATTTTCGGACCAAGTGTAAATGAAGAAAAATAAAATGATTGTATTCGAAGCCATTGAATCAGATTCTAATACCGTTCATGGCGAATAGAGACAGTGGTATAATTTCATGAAGCAAAGTCACGTCCTGACACGAAAGTCAAGAAATTGGTCGTTAAGTACAAATTGTTCGCGAAGATGGAAATTGAAGAATCTTTGTGCGATGACGAAGAGATGTCGGATATATAACGTTAAATGTGATGTTACGTCCAGATCTGTCGCTCTGGCGCCTGATCTAGTTACAACATGGAGAGGAGGAAAATCCGATCAAATACTCTGACAACGTAAAGTTCATATGCTCATGCCAATTGTTGGATCTCTCCCACAAGTCTATAGACAGTATTCTGTGAATAATTTGCGCGAGAAAATTCTTCCGGTGCTAAGCACTAGGATGTTTCATGGAGCTGACACGCAACCGTATACCAATTGAATGTTGTGAAAATATCGATAAATCATACATGATAATAAGTAATGATAATGTAATAAAATAATAAAATAAAATGAATCAAGATTTATGTAATATTTGCTTTACGGTTGCAGTCAAAAGATCGTTCAATTTTTTACTTTTAAACTAGCTTTTTAATTTTTTAGTAAAATAGATGTAATTCAGAAGGGAGGGAGATACAAAAACGCAATTTAAGAAATAAGAGCCATTCTAACACGTATACACGAAAATTATCGATGGCGATTGGTCAGCGTTGAAAAATGTTGGAACACCTCGGACTGTGAAGTGTCGGAAATTTTTATTTTTTTTTAATAATCCATCCGACACATATATAATACATAAATTCAAATGGAGCGTATTATTATAATAACAGATTTCACATGTGACGCTCAGCCGTCACCCTTGCACACAGCACCACGGAGCGCGTATAATAATACGAAAGGGGTCGTCGCGCGTCTCTCTCTCTCTCTCTCTCAGTCGCGACTTTTAAAGTGAAATAAATTAAAGGCAAAAGTGAGCAGCGAGCCCTTTCTCTCTCGCTCTCTCCGTATATCTCTGCGAAGGGTGCATATGGTTTCACTGAGCGCTTTAAAATGAAAAAGCCAGAGCAATAGCAGCAGTACCAGAATGTAATATATATATATATAGAGAGAGAGAGAGAGAGAGAAAGCGAGGTAGTAGTATCCATACAATAGGCGTGTCAATTTGTCGAAGCGCAAAATCGTGCTGTATTCCGCGCGCCCGTTTGTATGATATGTGCGGAACTGCGAAGCGATTCGATATGCCTTACAGACACATACGCATAAAGGCATTGAGTCGCAGCAGACACGCTGTAATATATGCAAAATTTATACTACTCCTCGCTCTTGATATCACATGTGCGATCCCTTTGACAAAACAACCATAAACATTACCAGAAGCTTCCGCGAATCGAAAATATACCGCAAAAAAATTATCGCTCGAAACACTTTCGATTTTTCGTCTCGCATGTATACATATACCCATGATAGACTACGGCTATCGCGTTATATGCACCCGCATCGCGCGCTCCGCAAAGGTGCAATGGCCCCGCCGACACCGCCGCGTGTCTGTCGGCAGGTGGATGCATTTTTCGCAGCTGTGCGGGGCTAGTCTTATATAGCTCGATCCGATTCTCTTTTCTGTGTGCTATGCACACTTGTAGGTATATGTATACCGCACGTATGGTGATCAAACTCGAGGCCTTTTGCGCGATGCGCTTTTCGCTTGCTGTACACGCTGCGCGTAGTCTCGAGTCGCGATTCCAAACTCGAGATAAAGGCGAATAATCAATGAGACGTAAGCTGTTTATAATGCACCGAGTCGATGTGTGCGCGTGTGTATATAATACAGGCAATAAAATGCGAATTTGTCGAGAAAACGCGTGCGCGTCGTTTCGACGGAATAAGAGAGAGAGAGAGAGAGAAAGTCGAGGGACGACCTGCATTCTGGCACGGTGCGGCCCGTCGTCCTCCTCGCATATAACACAGTAGACACACGAGGCTCTCTCGCTTCTTCGCGGGGCTTGATTAATAACCGACCCATCCGTTTTATATCACGCGCGAAACGGGGGCTTATTAGCACGTCAAAAATATGAAACTCTCTTTTGCGCGCGCGCGCGGAAAGCAAAACCTGCATTTAAAAGAGAGTATAGTAGCAGCAGCAGCAGCAGCGTCTATTTGGCGCGTCGGGCTCACGCGCGCGCGAGCTCGCGAGCCGCAAGAGAAGATGTGCAGAGCAATATACACCGTGCAGCGGGCAGACCGAGGCACGCACACACGCGATCGTTCGCACGCTCGAGGTGATATAGAGCAGCGCTCCGACAATGCACTCCGGCGAACACCTTGCGCGAAGCCCCGAGAACCTCCCTGCGCGTGCTTATATACGAGAGACTATATTCGTATCAATCTTTCAATGTCATTCGCTTTCCTTTTTCTGATAATTATTTTTTGTTGTTGTTATGTCGTTGACTCTCTATTATTTTCTTGCTTTTTTTGCTTACAGGGATACACGCCGCTTCACATAGCCGTGCAGTTTTCGCATGAAAATATTTACAACCTCCTGGTGCAGGTTTACGGTGAGTGATTTCGCACGATATTTTCGATTTATGCATAATTATCATTACGGCAAAAAAAATCTCGCTTTCTTCCCGATCGCAGGTGCCAATCAGGACGTGCGCGACTACAGCGGCAGAAAAGCTCGGCAGTATTCGATCTCGCAAAAGGCGGCGGTCAGCCAGGACACCATGCGCAGTGAGTGTTTCGTTTCTTATCGGACTCGGGATCAGGGTTTCTCTTTTTCCCTCATATACGTTCGTAGAATTTTAGTCGGTGTCATTATGTGGATTATTTGCTATATGTGTCAATTGGATGAAATTAAACAATTTGATTTCGTTCAAGCATGATCCGATGAAAAAATTGTCGTCGTAGTTCTAGACAAACTTTATGGGAATTTTTTTTTAATTCTCTATCACATTGCACTCTCATTCGTTCTTGCTTGCTACACATTATTCTTTTGGGTTTATAAGTACGAACTATTTGGGACTATATGCTCTGCAGTTAACAGATCCACCGCGGATGAAATTTCCATACACGACACTGGAAATTTTGTTCGTCCAGATCGTTGATTAACGCATATAATATGGGAATAATTATAGAATTAATCTTGCACTTTTGTTGTTGTTGTGTATCTGGATCTGTTGGATGTATTACCTTGTTTGTTATAGGGAGACTAGCTGCAAATCAGCTCAGGCAAGTTATTAGATTCTCAAGAATCCTGACGGTCCAATATAAAATAGCGATAGAAAAAAAAAGAAAAGTAGTATCCTTTATTGTTATATTTAGTGTATATTTCAAGCAGTAGTATCGTAAGGCTTTTTGGGTTTTGGCAATGTTTGGTATTTTTGCACGTTGACAGTAGACTTGTCCCGATATCCGAACTAATAAAAAACTACTAGACGAAATTTTTTCAGACATTCTATACTTCCCACTCTTTTTCATCTCTTATTGAGTACTTTCTCCTGATTATTTATGATAAACCTATAATTAAATCGATAAAGTTATTTTTTCGCGTTGCGTACTTAAATTTAACTTCATCATACCGCGGCAATGTTGTCGATAGCAAGGCAGAGTTACGAAAATACAAACACCGCGTTCGTGTACGCATATAGACACGCAATAAACTGGTCCACCTCAAGTTGACTATACTTGTCCTGCCAAAAAGTTGAACTTTCGGTTCGACAATGATGATCGCAATTTGGCCCCTGATAACGATCAAGAGCAGTTGCGATGAGTTGAAAATGATATGAATGAAATGAATTTAAAATTTTTCGCTCGAAGTGTAAAAGAAAAAAATTATAATATATACAAATCCATTTAACAAATGCCTGCATCGTGTAAATTAACACAACTCAGCGCGTCTCGGTAATCGCAGTGTTTAATAATAAACTACTTTTTTGTCCGTCGTGCATAGAAAAAAACTACTACTACTTTATAGCGCGGACAATGAGCATCTCGCACTTGTGCATTTTTTCATCCTCTCCCTCGGGGGCTACTATACTACATAGTTAATTACTCGCGCGCACTGCACACTTAATTTTGAGCAAAATAGTTTCTATCAAAGGCTGTCGATCGCTGCTCCTCGGCTCTGCGGGCATTATAAACACTCGCTACAAACATACACACATACATACACGGCGTCGGCTTTGTCCGAGCGCGAATTATGAGTAATGCCGGCGAGATAATATAATATAATGTACGTATATAAAAAGACGTAATCTCCCTCGGCACAGGTATAATCTTAATTCATTAGAAATTAAAAACGCAATGATTTGCATTTAAATGAGGTGTTAACGAGCTTCTTCACTTTTATTATCCTGCATACGCACTCAGTAGTTTTTTCTTGAGTTTTTTTTTTGCTTCTAACAGGCGCACGTGTGTTACTTAACTATTTTTTTTATCTCTTCATTATGTGTGGATATATGATTACTTCTTCTATTTTTTGCATGATATCTGTGTATATAATTTGACGTATTGTACAGGGACCTACTTTGTACTTGAATTACAACTCATGCACGAGCTCTCTTGATTAATTGTACATTATGCACTTGTTGTCGACTGATTTGTATTTACACGTGTTTTTCGTAATTCTTTGAGCTTATTTATCAAAAATAACTCGATAATATCTTTTGACGATTAATAATGACGATTAATAATGAGTTTCAACAACAACACTCGTATCGTTGGTTTTTCCTGCTATGCTTAACACAATGTTCTGTTTTCTTTCATTTTTCAGAAATAAAAGCAAGGAAAAAGCATGCAGGTAAGGATCATTTGACGTCAACCGATTCGCTTCGTTACAAAAGAAGTTTCCTCAGGCCTAGAATGATTTCTGTTTAATTCAGCTCCTACTAATACTCTTACATTTTTATTGCAATCACAAAGTTAAATTTTATGCTTTTGTATTAATGTGTTAATAATATTTATGTTTATTTTTTTATTATTTAATACGTGCCAAACTTATTTGTTTTTATTGGGTTTCATTAAATTTGCTTCATAATCTTTACTTTACAAATAACGGCAATCTTTTTCTATATCCTTTCCTATTTGCTTTTACACTCTGCATTGCTTTATAAAATTTTTCGTTTCAATTTTTTATTTTTTCTTCTTTTTATGAAGTACAAAAAGAAAATAGATATTTAATTTGTTCTTTTGAATGCACGCATCGATCACAGAGAAAGATCTTGGTTTCCTACGTATTGGCTCGCTGAACGTTCGCGTGAAGCGCACGACGGAGGCATTCAGCCAGTTTTTAGGAGTCACAACCAATAACACTGCCTCGAGTAACGAAAAGATTCACAAATCCTGGGGCTCGGCCGATCATCTACCGGTAAGCGTTCTCATCTTATACCTTGGCTTATACCAATAAAAATAAAACTTGAATATAATTCTCAATTTTGTGTGTGTTTGAAGCAGGCCGATCAGCTGATGCCACCACCCAAATATGGACCGATCAAGAAGCGACGCAGCCGACGCGCGACCGACTTCATATCGTCGCGCTCGTCGACGGGCAGCGGCGGCGCCCAATCGCCGGGTGGCACACCACCGCCGGGTTCGCATCGACGTCCGTCATCGGTCTCGACGATGATGAGCAGTCCTTTGCACGAGGAGCTCCCCCCGTCGCCCTCCAGGAGCACCGGTAGTGGTGTCGGCAACCAACAGCAACAGCAGCAACAGCAGAGCAACCACGATTCGGACTCGGACGGCGCCTGCGGATTCGACTCCAGATGGCACGGTCAATTTTGATTCAGAAACGTACTCATGAGGCTCATGTTGTCGTGCTTCGGATTGGGTGCTCACGAGAGATAATATTTCGCTGAGATTTGAGATGCATTTCAAAAATATATACGTATAATAATCGAAGAAATGTCGGGACAAAATTGTTTACTTTTGAAAATGCTCGTGACTACATCGCGATAAGGATCATTAGTAGTAGCTTCGATGAATTTATTTATACGGGACCGTCATCGTTAACGAGCATCATAAGCTGCGCATATGTTTAATACAGTAACGAACAAATTATTATGTCATAGAATTAGGTAGTAAATTAATTAAATAAACGAACAAATTAAGCGAGTTAATTTATTTAATTAAGTTCTTGTATTTTCTTCGAGAAAAATACATTTTGATTGAACAAGTATGACTCTCATACGCATTTGTTTGTTATTATAGAATAAATATAATAGATAAATAGATAATGAAAGTTACATATGTTTTATAGAGGATTTATATTTTTTAACCTTGAATATATTATAGTTGAAATGTATGTGAAAATTATGTGCTTGTGTGTATAGAAATGAAAAAATTAAAATTATTTTTCTTGTTTTGTCGATAATTGTATAAATATATTGTAACATAAGAATAAACAAAATATTAACAGCAAGTTGTTTCAATTTTTAAAGGATTACACACATTTGTCACGTTTAGAATTTTTTTTTCAAAATTAAGAAATTGCATTTGCATTACATAATAGATATCCTGCAGAAAATACTTTTAACAATTTCTGAGTTACAATTTTTACTTTTTTCTGTGTTTTCTAAAAATTATTTGTTTCTGCAAAACCAAATTTTGATTTAAATTTTTTGGACGAAAAATCGATTTTCAAATATTATTAAGCCTTTAATTCTACAATATGCAACCATTAAAGTTCTCAGTGCTCCTATAAAGAAGTAAAAGTCATTTTCTATACCTTTTTGCATTGATCATTACAAAAGGAGAACATCTAATAGAGTAAATCTTCCAGTACTTTCACACAAGAAAAAATCTCCCTTTGTCGAGCAATATACTCGGCAACAAAATTATCGCAACCAAAAATTTCATCGAAATTTTGTCGATTTTCAAATGCTTCTATCTTGGGCTATATTTACTGTACCGACACGTTTTTTTTTATTTCTTGGAAATTTTGTCCTCTTTAAATCCATGTATATTATGATAAGATTCGAGTCAATATCGAGTTACCAGTAGTATTTGAGCGCAACACTAAAAATTACTGAAAAAAATTGATTGTTTGAACGTGAACCAGTACCAGAGTAATTTTTTTAATTGAAATCTAACATACACCAACACAAAGTACTCTTTTCAACGAGTAATTTAAAAAAAATAGAGCTCTCTACGATTTTTTTAACGCCCCGTAGATCAAGTTACGTATTGCGTTAAAAAAATTGTCTAACAAGCTAATATCATTTCTAAAAAAATTATTTTAACTAAAAAATGCAAACTGCTAATATTACCATATCAATAACTTGAACTTAGAACTGGATTGTATTTTTATATTCGGGCTCTGAAAGCATTTTGAGTAGACGTACACATCTTGATAAATGTATTTCGTTTTTAAAAATTGAATTGCGAATTATATTTTTGAAAGTCTTATTAACGTTTATTAAAAGTGATCAGAAATTGGATGAGCTATTTTACCGAGTAGCTCTCAGTATATTCAACCACGGAAAGAGTCATAAATCGTATAAAAAATTGCATAAAAATTAATAAGTTCAACCATAAATTTTTCCTTGAAAATATAATATTTAATTTTGAGAAGTGCAAAAAATGTCATTGCCTCAAAATTGTACTCTTATTACTATTTATTTGAGTAATAGTTTCCGGTTGTTTGATAATACAGGGTGATGATGTTTTAGCAGGTTTACCCTAGCTTTACGAATTTAAAAAGTTTGTTGCTTTCTTTGTCATCAGTGGAGAGTTGAAAATTTGCGCCTTCGCGAAAATTTTTTTGTCACTATAGTGAACAGTATAGGCTATAGATAAGTAACACGACCTGAATTCTCGGCTACATTACAATATAAATTGCATGCTGCACTCTATACTGACTACTGACCACCACTTGACTCATAACATAACCTCTACTCTGCATATTTTTTTTGTTTTGAAAATATAGTTTCTCTAGTTTGTTACAAAAACGAAGAACATTCAAGATGTGGGATATTTGTCATCCAGCTGTAAGTAGAGAGATTAGAATTAATTTCATTTTCCTCATGATCTTCATAACGTGGCATTGCCTTCATATAATTTTATTTATGTAAAGTACTACAATATGAGCCAGCTAGGATGCAACGATCAGGAAAAGTTACAGCTAGCATTTTATGTTTACATGGAACTATGTGAAGGTGATGTAACTTTTAATAAATTTTGAAGTGTTTGATAAACAATGAAAAGCCGAATTAACATCTCTTAACTTTTTTATTTTAGTTAAGTGTTATTGGGATGTTCATTACAATTATTGCAAGGAGCTTGAAATTTTTTATTTGGAAGCAAAAAGAAAAAAGAATGAAGAACCAGGTATATTTATACCTTGGCCAGCCTGCAGTTATTTATCGTTAGATCTGATAAGTAATATTCAACGAGAATTAAAAACTGATAAGTAAGAAAAATATATAAGTGTTTCATATTTTTACCTTTCAATACAATTGACACTTGTGTTTTAGAATCACGTTTGCTTTCAAAGCTGGTATGGTGGAGTCTTCGTATTACAGCATAAATTCAGGATTAGTGAAACCCATGGATTTGGAACAGTCCAAAATACTCAATGATAAAAAGATACAAAAACATAAACAAGTAAAAGAAATAGAAAGAAATACTTCTAATTTGTACAAAAGAGCATTGAGTTTACAAAATGATCAGTGTGATTCTGAGACTGCATATGACAATAGATTTAATCATGAAGGCGGATCCTACAAACGAATAAGACTTGATAATTTAAATGAATCGGAAGTAATTGAAATAAATATAGACGGAAGCACTGAAAACGTTGAACCTAAAACCAATGAAAGTACAAATAATATAAGTCGATAACATAATTGTAAGTGTTAATGTTTACTTAAACATTATATTATTCATAAAAGTGAATGTACATTCTAAAGAGTCAGATTCTGGTTCATTCAAATTATTTTAATTAAGGAAATATTTGATAGCAGACAGTGTTGTATATATATATATATAAAAAATAAGGCTCCTCAGTGATAAGAAATATATTATATCTGAACATTATAAAATACAAGTTTATTGCTCTTTATTGTTTGAGATTTTTTATTGAATATATGAGTTAAAGATCCAGCACAAATAATTACTTTTTTATTATTTATTACAATTAATAGTTGTAAGCTGCCGTTTGTCTATACAAATACAAAAATGTAATTCTTTAAAGAAAAAAAACATTGAATCACAATAAAAGTTTCATTTGTGTATATAACATATTTATTGCGAGTTTGAGGCACATATAATATTCATCAAGAATACAATTTATAAACATTTAACAAATACCTTGTTAATGAAAAATATCATTTTTAATATCTTAACTAATACAGAGTAAAATCAATTTTATTGATATGAACAAAAAAATGTATGAAATCGAAAATTATTTTTCAATATTTAAAAAAACACGGTACTATCTACAAAATGACGCAATAATTGATTTATATACATTAGTTAATCATATTTTTAAGGTTGATTAGTTAGAATAACATTTTCAGTTTTTATATTGAATTTATTGCAGACTTGTTAAACAATTCGAAGTAAAAAACTAATTTCGCAATTGAAAAAGAAATGGCAAGTATAAAATCTTAGGCAGTCATGAAAAGTTTCGAGAATTCGTATTCAGTTCTCGGAAAGCTCACAAATTTCACAAATTATTTTTAGACTAATAGTTTTAAAATATTTATTTTGCAGGCACAATATTTGTTGTAAATCAACAATAACCGCTAAAATGCATTCTCCATTCATAAATTCAAACCTTTTCATTCATCTTACCCGAATTTACGAATTAGCGCTTATGAAGTAAAGCAAATATAGTAGAAAGTAACGGTGTTAGTATATTCTAAAAGACTTTAATTTCACGTATAAACGTTTCATTTGATTTATTTTGTAATTCATAATTAAATATAAGATGAATTTTATTATATGACAGATAGGTTCATAAAAAGTGTAAATATGTATCAAATCACATAAATGATCCAATACACGTATAAGGCAATCTAAGTTTCAAAATTAGCTCGAAACTATCACAAATATTTACGGTGTTTCCGTAAATCATCCTTACTTCAATCGTACATGAGTAATTTAAACTAATTAGTTTTATAGAATAGCATTTTGAAGTTTCAATGATTTCCCAATTAAATTTATATTATATTTTTTTTATTTTTCATTAATTAGCTCATGATATGCTTGGTAATCTTTTTTTTTTCTTTGAAAACCGTTTCTCTTACAACTATTTTACATATATTTACATTTCTATAGTAAAAAATAAATGTATAATTACAATTTCGTTCACAATACGTAAGCTAAAATATTTAATATTGAATCTGAAATTGTGAACTTTGTTAAAACCTTACGCGAAACGTTGTTAGTGTTGAAGCGAATTATAATAGAGATAAGAGTTATGATATTGATGATAATAATCATAATAGGATTAATAATGATAATTTCGATAATATTAATAATATTAATAATAATGATAATAATTATAATAATAATAAAATATTGATAAAATTACATTTTCCTCACAACAAGAGCTCTACACTATTTTTTTAACTCGACTTCTTGTTTAAACAATTATCACAAGAGCACGAGTGCACTATTTATCAGTTACGTACAGTTCTATGTAAAAAATCCTTTGATGTTCTGCTTTTAATTATCAAATGATTCTATACAATTTTCTAATCCATTTTTTTATTGCAAAAATTATTTTGTTATTAGTTTTATACGTAAAAATTTTTAGCATAAAAAATAACACTTTGTTCTTTCATAAATATATTAGTATTTTCAGGTTTCTTTCCAGGATAAAATTCTTTTTCAAGATTCAAATTCATTTTAAACTTTCAACATTTAGTTAAAGAAAATTCGAATGAACTGACTTGATCATTCAGTAATATTTACTGTATATTCTTCCGACCAAATCTACATAAATATACAAATCAACTTATTTATACATGAAAAGTAAAAGGTTTGATTCTGACAAAAATTAGACGACTTACATGTTTTATGTTAACGTTTAACACTTTTTTCATGACAATGTATTTATACCATTGTTTAAATTTTAAAATCAGGAGTTTCAGCGGATTCTCGTCAATGAGCTTATGAAATTAATTTTAAACCTTTTTCCTGAGCTATTATCACTTCGTTTAATTAAAAACACGTTGAATTGTGAGTGTGCGGGACACAAATTGATAGTAAAAATTATTAAATTGTAACATAAAATAAAAAAAAATATATAAAAACTATACAGATACTCTATGAACAAACTTTTAGTATGGACTTTGTCGTCCAGTTACACTGACAATGTTTGAAACATGCGTGTAATGTGTAATAATTACATTTTGATAGAAAATTAGCTGCGCTTGATATCGAAGCTCACGATTGATTTCATTTACGTTGGAACTTTGTCGGAACGTCTAATAGTTCGCAGGAACGTCTAGTAGTTCGTTCCTTCTAGCTCGGGGTTAGCACCAGTCTGCCATATAAGTAAAATCTTTGAACAAGGCTTGCTCAGCTTCGCTCAACGGTCGAGGATCTTTCGGTGGAGTTAAATGAGGTTTCTCAGAAGTAAATTCTTCATCAAAGTTACTAACGTCTTCGGCAGAGTTCTGAAAAATTAAAATTACTGTTAAATTTGACTCTTAACAATGGAAATTTATTTTAGTGAATGTTCGTTATCTGTAATGATTATGAAAGTTTTTAGGAGGATTTATTATTTATACTTTTTTTCAAGAAATTTTTTTAGAAATAAACGATATTTGTAGATGTTAATCAATCATTATGTAAAATTTAATGAATTATTAGGTAAGTTTTTTAAAGAACGATCGTGTAATATGCATGATTTTAATTCCGATAAAATCTTTTCTTACGATTTTGCCAGAACATCGACGTTTTTTAGCCTGTTAAGATGACAATATCATCAATTATTCTTTTTAACTAATCACAGAATTACGAACAATTCCAAATTTTTATGTTAAAAAAAAGTAAAACGTAAGAAAAAGTAACGCAAATACTTACAATAACAGGAAGGAAAGGAGGTTTCACTCGTCTTAGAAGCAAATCGTCCCATGCTATGTGCCGGAAGAAAGATTGTTTTTTAACATCTTCGGCATCGCGTTCACTGCTACCCAAACGTCTTTCAGGATTTTTTCTTAGCAGCTGTAAATCACAAATTATCCATATTACATTATAGATGCTGTCCTCGAGAAAAGTAACACGCAACAGCTTTTTTCATGTTTACTTACTCTTCTCATGATAGCAATAGCTTCAAGTGACAGGAATCGAGGATAGCGAACCTCATCATTAACGATGGAGTCGAAGACTTCTTCTTCATCATCACCCGGAAACGGAGACTAAACAATACAATATTTTAGAAAGAAAACAAAAAGAAAGTCAGAAAGTTAACAGCATACTCACCTCTCCAACAAGCATCTCGAAAATAAGCACTCCAAGACCCCACCAATCAACAGCCCGCGAGTATGAAGTCTCAGTAAGTACCTCAGGAGCGAGGAACTCGGGTGTTCCACAGAATGTACCTGTGCGATCACCGAAGCCCATTCCCTCTTTGCACAAACCGAAATCAGCAATTTTCACGTAACCTTCGGTGTCCAGGAGTAAATTATCTAATTTCAAATCTCTGTAAAATAATAAAAAAATAGTAAATTATTCAAGTTTTTGATGCAAAATGATTTACAAATTTATTTTATATAATTTACCTGTATATGATGCGACTTTCGTGGAGGTATTGCAACCCCAAGACAACGCAGGCCGAATAAAATACAGCTCGAGGCTCGCCGAATACGTCAGCGTGAATGTGCATCATGAGATCACCACCGCCAGCGTATTCCATCACAAAACAAACATGCGCCTGCAAATAAGCGAGTTGTTAAAAATTTATTTCATTGTTTGCTGTGTACGAAATAATGGGAAATTAATCTCTTAAAACTTACGTCGGTCTGGAAGCAGGCGAACAAATTGACCAAAAATGGATGCCTCGTAGCATTGGCTACCTCGAATATTCTCTTCTCTGAGAGCAACGACTCCACTTCATCTCGGGCGATGATGTCTCCCTTCTTCAGCGCCTTGATGGCGAAGTACTCGCCCGTGTTGCGATACTGTGAAAGTATCACTTTACCGAAATGCCCGCGGCCCAGAACAGACAAGAGTCTGAAATTTTCCAAGCCCATGCCCGTATTGAACTGGGATTGGCGACGAGATTCGTACGCGCTGTCTCTGAACGGCAGCGGTCTCGATGGCGCTGGCAATTCATAAGCGATCTGTTGCGAAAGAAGATAATCAAAACATTTTTCTAACTTTTGACGAGATAGACAAACACATTTTATTTGTTAAATTACGATCTCAATGATAAATAATTGTTAATAACAAACACGTTCAATATTTTTTCATGTACGAGTTTTATGTTTACATCAAACAGTTGGAGAAATGACAAAGAGATAGTAATCAAGAAAATATTTGATACAAGATCATATTTTTTTTGTGTGATAAAATAAATGTATATTATAGAAGCATTGATTTAACTTTAAATCAATTGGACTATGCTTAATTCAGCGTTTAATGAATAACTAAAAACACTGAGCTCTAACAAAATCTTTCGATAAACTAAGAAACTGTAAGTTGTACGTACACACTTTTTAGAATGAAACTCTATTACGGCAAGTTTTAAAAAAAATATTATTATTCGAGTTTTCAAAAGTCTTATGTCGTTATTAATTAGATCTTCTCATTTTAATTAGATAATAAAGAGATACCAGCAAAGAGATTTAGTGAGTTTATCTGTTAGTGGAAGAACTATTAAATACAAAACAAGCACACCTGAAGCATCATTATTTTATACATTACGAAAGCAAGAAAAAATCCACACCCTAACAACAGCTACAAATCAACGAATTTAGATTTATGATCGAGAGATTTTCAACAACGAACATCTCTTGAATGAACGAAAGAAAAAAAACAAGAGCAAAAAACTTCAAAAGCCATGCTGTGCCACATCTTAGTGCCAATCGAGGATACCTCGTCGTGCGCGAAATCAGTCTCGTCGTCGGGAAACTCGACAACTGGCTGTGGTGAAGGTGTGCGTTGTGGGTGAGACGCGTAACACGATGGCCGCGCGACGGGAGCGTACACCGCGGCCGGTGGCTCCGTAGCAATGGCTCTCAAAATTGCACCTCTGTCTTCTCTCGGACGGAAGTCGAAATCGCGGTAGTAGTTCTGTAATTCCGTAGAGGTAGCATTGATTCTCACTTTTCTTTTACTGTTCGATTTGATATAATCGCGATGTTTGAGGCATTTCTATCTTTCCCGAAAATTTTTTATCTATGGTATTTGATCTCGTTGATGTTTCGTTAAAATTAATCATAGAAAAGTAGTCACAAATCTACCCGAGTCTGTTAATTAAATATTTTATTAGCTATTCATTTACTTGTACTTGAAGCACCATTTTACTTAATATCCACTGTTAAATTAATTTTTTTTTTTCGTTTTAAGCCAGATTATTATTATTTTATGTTCCAAATATTGTTACTTTTAATTTAAAGTTCCCATTACCGTTATTATTTGATTCCTCTTGAATAAATAACAATTATTTGTACTATTTTATAAAGTGGTTTTGCTCAATTTTTAATGTGCATAAATACTGACAAGTGCAGATTGTGTAATTCAGCCTAAGGTATACTGTGAACGTTTTTTTTTTCAAAATTTCTTATTCTAGCCCTAAGCACTTCTACTATGATCAATCACCAAAATCGTCACTTACATTTCGTGCGTTATCATCGAGGATTTTGGCCGTTGGTGGTGGGGGAGCTGGTACGGATGGCTTCTTTGCCACCGGTGGAGGTGGTGGTGGATGGTCTGGTGGATGAGGTAGTGGCGAACTCGTTGACGTGTGAAGATGCAAACTACCGTGACTACCACTTGGTGTGACTGAAACGCCAAGTGGTCTCGCGCCACCCAAGCCACTCTTGTCGGGATTGGGCACTTCACCGAGTGTTTCATTTTTATCTTCGATTGACGTATCGAAATTTAGTTGCGTTGGTTGCACACCTGATAAAAATGATTCACATAAGCCTCCGGGAATTACCTCAAAAATAGGCAGCTACAGTTAAAGTAAAAATGGCTTACTCAATGATTTACTCGACGGTGGGCTTTCGGAATTCCTGTTGTTGTTGTTATTATTGTGATGATGATTGTTACTGTGATTCAACGACGGCGCCGATCGCTTTAACAATCTACCCCATGTAGCGACGTTGATGTTCATTTGATTGGCTCTGGGGAAATTCTTCACCTGTTGCTTGAAAATCTTTCTCTGTCTCTGCAGTCTCGGTCTGCGCGATATCATTGGATTGAGGAACTTGATTTCAGCGAACAGCAAACCCTGAGGTTCGAGTTGTAGCGCCATTCCGTGTCGAACGTCGTCGATGAACTCCTCGAGACGCAAAAATTTTACAGCGCATAACGAGCGCCAATCTTTCCAATAAATGCTGATCTCGAGCTCACGCGATTTATCTAGATCGATTCGGAATCTCTGATCCCAAGCTTGCTGAGAGCACGGACGCCAATTTGTTTGCCCAACCAGTACGTTGTCGAGCTTGATTTTTGCCATAATATCGTCTGCAAAGTGAAACAAATGGTTACTTAAAGCACAGAAAAATAACGAATGTTCGTTAACGTATCATTATGAGGTGAGTGTCAAATGGTTCACCGAGCAAAGGAATTTTAATTAACGCAAATACTTCCTAGTCATTAACACCGGAGCAGTTACATTAATTTTCGCTACTCTTTGCTTTGAACCTCTTAAAGAGTCTAAATGAGCATGTTGAGAAACAAACTTACTACTCGTTTCATCTTTGACACTGTAAGATTTACTTGAGCTACGGCCGGTAACGCCTTTTTTGACTAAACTTCGTATGTCTGGACTCGCTGAATGATCGCGCTTCGTACGCCCAGGAACTTCTTCCGCTAAATCTTGACATCCCATTAGTCTGACCTGCGATTCGTATGGTCATGTTAATATTTTAATCCATTACTATATTTAAAACATCAAATGAAACTAGAATCATACCTCTAACTGCCCAGTAACACAAGCAGTTCTCGAAATCGGTGCGGGTACTACTGATCTATCTTGAATTTCTCCTTTAAATGGATTATCATTTTTATAAGATGTGTAGGTGACGGTAGCCGGACTGGATGATTGAACTTTTTGCAATTCTCCCTTTAATTGAATTGCAAATTCATTATCCGGTGGCAGCTCCTGTCTGCGCCTCTCCAATGATAGCCTCAGTAGGTCCAGCTTCCGGCTTGATTCGGTCAAACTTTCTTGGGCCTGTAGTTTTTCAAGATAATATTAACAAATTTAGCATTTATCAATTGTTTAATCAAAGAAATTGTCAAGAGATATGATGTCAATCGTATTGCATAGAAATAGTTGAATAGGATAGAAAATAACTTAATATTTCAAGCGCTGAAATTTTATTATTATTAAAATATTTATAATATCCAAAAATATTCGTATTGTAGTATTATTTTAATGAATACGTCTACACATTATTTCTTTCAGCTGACCAAATTCCCAGTTTTTAAAATTGTTAATATCCAAGTATTAAAAATGCCACTCACATATTATTATTAAACATCAAGAAAAATACATACATTTTCTCGAAGTGTGCAAGTGAACTTGCGTCGATAAATTTCAATTATTTTGTTATACAGAAATTATTTATAAACATCATTCGGTGTCGGTATTTCTAAGCTTACGGCGAGTTTCGAGCTCGGAATTTTTTTTTGTACACTTTCACAACACCGCATCACACGCACATATATCCCCTCCGGCACATTCTCGAAAGATGACAATTTTTAAGTTGGCGTATCTTTAGCTCGACGTTCTCGAGCACCTTCGAGAGTCGAGTATGTCGAGGGAGCGCGACCTTTTTCTGGACGACTCCTCGAAGTATCGTCGACAGTGCTCGCATGAGCAGACGGGATTTTTTGCGGGGCCTACGTGATGTCCGGGCTTTCTCAAGGTATTGATAACTCGGCCGAAAACCGAGGCTTTGATTATGTGATCGGTCTTTTCACCCTGCGGTGTGGTGAACGGCGACGTGACTCTCGATTGCAATTTCGATGGAGGTGGCGAAGGACTCGTCGAACCGAACGGGCCAATCCTGTCCTTCAGTGCAGCCATTTTAGTTTCTTTTATGCTCTCGATATAGGGTTCTGGATTTTCGGACGTCGTCGTTACGATGCCAGTAACTCCAGGTAATTCTTGTATCATCAGTTTGCCGTGTACCACGCTGGAATTGTCCTCGCTCGAGACAAAACTCCAGCCAACTTCAGAATCGGATGCATCGTCGTCGTCGTCGTCGTCATCGTCGTCGCTCGTTTCAGAAGACCACTCGGTCGTCGAATTTTTTCCCGTGCATTCCTTGATCCTCTGATTACTCAGTCGATTATTAGCCAAAGCTTTCCTAGCCCAGAGTATCTGATCGAGTCGTCGGATTCGCTCGCGATCCAGTGAGTCGTCGTACTCGAAACTGTCGCACTGAGTGATGCTGGCCTTGCTGCCCAGCAGCGACTCCATGTCCGAGATCGTCGTGTCCTTCCAGGAGGTCATCGAGGCCGTTTCCTCGGCTATGCGCACGCTCGAGGAGGCCGCGGACAAGCCGATCGACGACTCGAAGTCGCGTATCCGGCTGTAAGAGCTGAACTGCGACGGATAGAGAGAGCTGAGCAGATCGTCGCTGCTCTCGTAGCCCTTGGAGCTGGCGAGCGAGGGCATGCGCAGGGGCGCGTGCTTGAAGCTCTCGCATCGGCGCTCGGTGGCGCGCTTCAGGAATGCATTCTCGTCTTGGAAACCGCGCGGCAGTAAGGAGTCGTCCGTCACCGTCCTGTGGACTATTCTCACGTCGGGATTCTCAAAGACGGTGGGTGAAATTTGGCTGGTGTCGTCGGACTCGCTGTCGGACGTCGAATCGTCGTCGTCGTCGTCATCTTCGGTGCCGGTGCAATAAACGTCGATGTGCACCGTGCGCTTTCTCTTCTCGCTATTGTCGTCTTTGGATTTCGTCGTATCCGTCGTGGCGGTACTGGACGAGTCGGATTTGTTCGAGGCTGCTTCCGGTCCGGGTGTAGGACTTCTCGCTGGCTTTCTCGTGTGCTTTCCAAACTGCAACGCATCGTCGATTACATTTTCAGGAAAAAATAAACGAATAATGTTCAAAAAAAATTCTTACGGCTTTTTTCTGTAGCTCCTCTTTGCCAGAACCAGACACACTGCCGGACCTTCTTCTCCGAATCTTTCTTCTCGCCATTACCGGTGAATTTTTCGCTTCGATATCGGTCGTTTGTGTAACAGCATCGGCTTTGTTGCTGCTCGCCTCCGCCGCAGGCTGGCACGTCGTCCTCGTTGCCGTCGCCGTCGTCGTCATCGTCGTGGGAGAAGGTGTTTTCTCTTTTAATTTGGTGCAAAAGTGCGCGGCGAACGGCTTGTTGCCGGCCGCAGCTTCGGCGCAATCGGCGCACACGTCGGGCACCGCGTTGAACTTGCAGCACGGCTTCGCCACCGCTTGTTTGTACGTGCTCCAAGGTCTCGGATAGGGAATTCTGCTCGTTGGCACAGCTTTGCAGGGTCCCCCGACGCCGCCGTTGGGACTCGTCGTTGCCGTAGGTGCTAGGACAATACTGTAGGTACTGGTGCAACGTTTGTCGTTCATGTCCGTGAATCGAGGATTTCCGCATCGATACAAACTGCCGGATTTTTCGTCGTCGGTCGCCAGCTGCAACGTCTGCTCGTGTTGCATCATGTGCGTGTAGCATCCACCAGACCTCCTACTCGAGAACAGGCTACTGTTCGTCCTCACGGGAATGGCGGACTTCCTTGTCGGCGGCGTCGAGGTAAACAACATATTTCCTCTCTGAAAATTGCAATTGTCCGACAAGGAATCTTGGAGGAACGGCGGCGACGGCGGTGACCTTTCGGCCACGCAATCGGGCACGAAGCTGTAGGTCATCCTGACACCCGTAGCCTCGCTGCAAGGCTCGATCTTGGCGTTCTTGGTCACTCCCGTCACGGGCTTGTCGTCGTCCTCGCGATGTATGGTGAATTCGGCGCGTACCGACCAGGGCGTGCAGCTACCGTGCGACGGCGATGAAGCGGCCGCGGCGGCGTTACTATTGCTGTTGCTGCGGCTACGGCTGCGGCTACTGCTACTGCTGCTCTTTGGCAATTGGCTTCTTCGAGCGAACATTATTGTTGCAGCGATCGATCGGTGACGATGATGTGTACTTTGCAACGCCTCAATGTCATCGTCGAGCGATCTAGTTCATTCGCTCGCTGTAGATATAGATTCAGCGACACTTGTCTTTATAGCACCGAAGACGTCGTCGTCGTCGTCGTCGTTGTCATCATCCTCTTCGTCGAATCGAGCGAGCACAGATTGATCGACTTGGCATGCGCCTGTCGGTCAGTGTGCTGCTGCTGCGCTTCGCTTCTTCGTATACGTTGCATGCACGCTCGTTTCACACACGCTTTCGCGATTATCTCCAAAATAGATGGAACCGATTCGTGTCACGACGCGATTTCTTCGTGTGCGCGGGGGATCGACCAAGTCGATCAGCTGTTTCGCACGGTGGTGCAACAACACTACTAATAATTCTATGCTGCAGGGCTTAATTGTCAATGGGTCTTGTCTCCCAAGACGCGCAATCAGCTCTGCGCGTGTGATCTCGTTTGCGCGTTTATTAATTTTTGCTTTTTAGTCTGTACAAAAGTCGTCTGTGTGCGCAGCTGCAGCGACACCAAACGAAATTACGAAAACTTTCGTTAGAGGCAAATAGCGCCTTGTCGACGCCTATAATAACAATTATCCGCGTCGCTTGAGCGTATACACAGTAGCCGTGTCATAGGACGGAAACAAAAAGGGCGCACGCACACACACTTTACATAGGCACACGAGAGTAGAGAAGGCACAAAAAGAGCAACGGAGAGAGCAGCAACGTCAGGCGCGCTCCTATTACACATCTAAGCCAGCCAGGCAGATCGCGTCGTCGCAGCAGCAGCAGCAGCCGCGTCTTCTGCGGGGCTTATAATTAGCGCAACGTGTAAATTTGGAGCGACTGGTCACCTATATAACGCGCATTTCAAAGCTTTGCCCAGAATACCTGGAATAAGCTGTAGCAGTTGTACATTATACGCGCACGCAGCGCGTGCAGAAGTGTCCCTCTCTCTCTCTCTCTCAACTTTTCTACGACAGCCGCGCAAAACATACTCATAGGCGTCGTGTCGTTATCATTCACCGATGAAAATTCATCCTATGCACACGCTGCCGCTTCAGCCGAGTCGTCGCTTGTACGTGCGTGCGTGTGTGCGCGCTTTCTATGTATTTCGTGTAAACGCGTGTTGCGCATCGCGAATCAGAATACTTGTTATGCGATCGCGCACCGTTAACGTTCCTCTCGTTGTGTTTTTCTTTTTTGCCACATTTTACGCTTGGCTCTTCTCAGTAGCGGTGTGTGCAGCAGTGCAGGTGTGCATCAAGTACACGTAGGTATCGAAACACTTTGAACGAGCAGTCGTGAATTATAACTGCCGCAGCTGCTGCTGTTTCACCATGCGACGAGCTTTTTGCAGGCTCTCCTGTGTTTAGCTGACTCTTCTTCGGCTCTCTTCTACGCCCACGCGATTTCAAACATCGTTACATTACGATCTCTGGCGTGCGCTGTGGAAGTTATTTTCGAGTGGACGACTTTCGAGTCAAAATTGGAGATTTTTTCTTTGTAACGACTTCGAGTCCGAGTGACGCGAAACAAATCCTGCGTAAACAAAGCTTATTCATTTACACAAATGCACGCACCGCACGAAAACCTTGACACATCAATCTTCGACCGGTCTTTTTTTTCCTCCAATGTTTCCTCGCTCTCGTCGTGCACTTGAGAGCATGCCACACGAAATTTCAACTCTTCGATTGATTTCGCAACACAAGCAGCACACTGCACTCGGTGCTACTCGCTTCTCTCTCTCTTTCTCTCTCTTTTTCTTTCTCTTAATCGTTTAGTGCGTCGATTTCTCGACTCTTAAACGTTTCGCCTCTCGTCTTTTTCTTTCGCCGTAATAACCCAGTGCAGGCTATCTTGCATTCTGCGGATAAACTAAAAGATGCGGACTCGGGCGAAAAGCCGAGGCATGGAAAACAGAAACGAAAGCAGATGTATATATAGACCCGCTTGAAACCGAGTTATTTTGAGAGAGAGAGAGAGAGAGAGAGTGAGAGAGAAAGAGAGCGCGAAGTATAGAGAAAGAGAGAGAAATTGAAAAAGAATGCGAAACAAATTTGTTGGCCGAAGATCTGGATCAAAGAATATTTTAAAAAGCCATTCGGCTGGTGCAAAAAGAGAGAGAGAGAAAGAGAGAGAAACAAGTAACTCATTCAATCAGGGCGATGATTTATCATAAATAAGTCGTGAATCATTATGGATGGATACATAAATGTTGCACACAGTGACGAGAAAAAAAACAATCTATAAAATTAGCCACCTCGATCGCTCGAGCAAACCGAGAGGAAACAGGGAAAGTTGCAAGCAACAAAGCGACAAAAAATTCAACAACTTCTATTATACCGGATACACTATTTTTCTCTCTACTGTCTCTCTTGGGTTCTGCATGTCGCCTATGCACACACATACAAATACGCGTATGCTTAATTGAAAGTACACAGAACTCGAGTACACGCTCGTATATATACGAGTTTTTCTCGTTGTTTCGGAAAGCCGGTTTTCCGTTATCTTTCGCTCCTACCAACATTTTCTCGGTTAAAAAAAAACCAATGTTTATTCATATAATCTCAAATGTCGCGCATTCGTATACAAAACTTTGGACAATACGATGAATTTGTACCTTTTGTATTTGTAACAAGCTCACCTCGGATAGAGCTTTTTTGTCGGAAACCTTGGAGCTCTGTAGCAGGCGTATGACATTTTTGGCGCCCTCGCTGACGGCCGCCTCGATCCTCAGCCTGTGTCGGAGCTCCTGGATTCGCTCCTCGAGCGCCAGCTCCAGGCTCGCGTCGCTGTGGTCCCTGTGGCCGCCGCCGGCCGCGTCACCGTTCTGTGCCGGCGCGTCCTCGCGGCGCGCCGCCCTCGCCAGCTGCTGCTCGCGCGCCTGCTTCTGCTTCATGATGCACATGCGCAGAAATTCGATCTTCGCGCGCGAATCGTCGAGCATCTGCTGGGCCTCTTGGAGCATCTTCTTGTCCTTGTGGCCCGCGCTCGTCATGCTCTGGATCAAGTTTTCCGCGCCCTGCTTCACCTGCAATCACAAAAATTGATAAGTTAACGAGTCACGAATTGAGCAGAGACAAGCAATCGATATTTGCAAAGTTTTGACGTTGTAAAGCTTCGGCTGCATAAGCTTATTTCAACAATATGCTTTGAACAATAATTGCCAACTTTTGCTGTACTTGCAAGGTCACATTTAAATTTGAAGAAATAATTATGAAGGAACTAAGCAACTAATGGTGAAAACATTGTAGAATATTTTGATAGCGAGCAATGATTTATTATAAAAATTAATTGAATCAATCGTTCAACAATATGTTTATTTATCAAAGTATCAAAAAACGAACCCTTTGCCACATTCTTTTTGCCATGACTATTGCGCAAGAAAACTTTTCGCACTCGAAACCCCCACTAATGTATGAAAAAAATGAAACCAAAAAACAACTAATCAACACACGTTGCCCAGACACAACAGATCGACGCGGCGCAGTTGTCCCTCGCACGGGCTGATTCGCTCTGCGAGGGCAGCAGCGGGAGACACGACTCTGAAAGCCAAGTGCGCGTCCAATAATACCGCTAAACTGATTACACAGAGAGAGACACAACACAAACGAATGACCCTCGATCGCTACTACAACAACGACGAGCTTGAGCCACACATGCTCGAGTAATTTCACGCGAGAGGGATATCTTTTTGCGGCTCTCGTCGCGTTTATTACATAGATTGCCCGCAGCTCTAATGATACTTCGCCATCGGAGGTTTAATATGCGTGAAGCGATAAATATAGACCGGGAGCCGGAGCGATTGATTCGGTAAAGACACCTTCCCAATAATTATATCGCGGTATTATTAACACTCCTCCGAGCCTGAACTTGACAATTGAGAGCTCGCTTGAAAACGCAAATTATTGAAAGGAAATTATTTATTCATTGAATAAGCAAGTTCGTATTAATAATAATTTTTTGCAAGGTTAAAAAGTACACAAAGCGCCGGGGTCTTTTTTTTAATCACAAATTGATCAATAGCGTGCCTTTATTTGCACGAATTCACTCGTCGTTAAATATCGCACACTGATTTGAAAGCTTTTTAATGGAACATCCTCGATTAATTACTTCTTTCTTTCCGCAAAGCAAACTCGTGAAGGGCGAAGCTAAGGGTAAACACGTGTTGTTGCGTCAGCTGTGACACCTAATCCCGATAAAAAGTTAATTCACAAAATGATAATGAAAGGAGGAAAAAATACGACGCATATTTACGAACCTTTTGTTCGATATTGAGCTGCTTTTCCAAGGTGACCAGTCGGAAATCTTTTTCGACGTCCTCCTTGACGGCTTCGTCGGCACTGGCTTGCGGCGACTGTGCCTGATCTGTAACAAATTCCGGGATGAAAATTTTTAGCATATATTTTTCTTTCAATTTTTTTTTTTCGTACCACGTCGAGGAACGTCACTCCACGTATTAGAAATTTATAGAAACACATGGTATTTTCGAGTTTCCGCTATATACGCACGCTAAGAAGCCAAAGCGTATAATCAGAGTATATATACACGCGTATCTAGCTCGTCCCATTACTTTGTAAGCAAGTTTTATAAGTAGTCGCGACGCAGCACAATGTCCCGTTTCCCTCATTTTTGCGCTAATATTCAAGCGACGACGACGACGATAATGGATACGATCGTGGGAAATGCTCCACCTAAAAATCTGCGTTACAAACGCGTAAGAAAGCATTGCGCGTATACGGGCTGACAGGCGAGTTATGCTTGAAATGCACGACAACTCGTTACAGACGCGAGCACGTGAGAATAACTCGACCGATCGACAATGAATTGTAATTAACTCTACCTTTATGAATTAACGTCAATTGGGTGGGAGCGAGCAGGTCGCGATTCGAGTGATTTATGGAAACACTTCGATCGAGTAATTTTCTTGATAAGGCGACCATCTGTGTCGATGCGAAGCAGTACATTTGGCGGGGGTTGATTCCCATATTTTAGTAATTAGAAATAGAGCGAGCAGACTTTTGCGGTAAAATGATTACTTTTACCGTCTGCTATATCATCGACGACTTTTTATTTCGATCGAAAAAGATAAATTGGCTCAAATATCAAGGTTTTTCAAGCGGCATACGATAATCTGTTAGCGAAAAAGCACGCGCGCTCTATCACGCATCCTCTCTCGCAGATTTATGCGCAAATAGAAAATCGAAGGAAAAAAGAGAAAGTGAAATCTCGAGAAATCGTCCAACTTATCGGTCGTAGCCGCCGCGGCTGCTGCTCGCAAATATAAGTAAATCGTGAGCGAGAGAGAGAGAGACTGCGGTACGCCGCTTTTACGTATTAGATATACGCCAAGCAAGAAAATGCGTTTTTCATCGATTGTGGTTAATAAAGCTTGACCTTTCGATTAGCACAAACGTGAACCTTGTTCGATTCTCGTTTTTCAATAGCAACGTAATCAATTGTATATGTACGGCTCGGAGGAGAGTCATTGCACTTTGATGAATCAATAATTAGGTCGAAACCGACTGCGGCTGCTGAGCTTTCGCGCGCGCACGCGTGGCGTAGCGAGTCTGCAGCATGCGTCATTTCGCCAGATACGACGTTGCCTCTTCAGCAAATAATCATTCGATCGATAAGGCTCGCGGAGGAAGTATTACGCGACGCTCGATTGTGTAATTCATGGTTTCTAAAATCATTCACTCCGTTCGTTTACCGCGACGCAGCGCACGCTTGTACGAATTCGCGGAGCTTCGGTTTTTCTTCTCGGGAGTAAAAGGGTAACACACACACAATTTGATTAGCTAGCTAGCTAGCTAGCTCGCTCGCTCGCTGCGGAGGAAGAGGATCGAGAGCCGCGCTAAAATGTACCGTTGGCGCATGTGCACCTTACACGTATTGTACATCGTATGCATGTTTATATTATAAAGCTCATCGTGGTCACGCACTAGGCTAAAAGCAATTACATCGTTTTCTTATCCACGTGCGCGCAATGCTCGCTACGCTCATATATACACATTTTGTAACGAGGGGCCTTGTATACATCTCTATATGAAGCCACATTGTAAGTTTCCAACAGACTGAGCGCTCGCGATTTACTAGCGGTACATTATGCCGAGATAGCATGATTCGCAAAGTTGGGTACTGTCATAAATTGAGGTAATTTTTTTTTTTCATTTTTACATCGCAGAGAGACGACGACGACGACGACGACGACTATGCGAACAATTCGTAAAATGACTGCTACGCATGTGTAACGCACGCGCAACAAAGGATCCGAAGAGAAGAATGGTACAAGCTAAAAAGTATACGAGCGCGCGAGCAATATTTAAAGGGTAGCCGGGTTATACGATCGTTCGTTTTCAGCCATGCGCGAAGGATGCGTTTCCTCGCCTCTCTCTCTCTCTCTCGTGCGTGTATCGCGCTGCAAATGAAAAAACTTATCGAATGAGAAAAAAAAACGAACGTTTCAATAAAGGATGTGTTGTATACGCGTGCCGCGCAGCCAATTCTCCCAACAGAATCGGTCGAAAAAAAAAAAACAGGAGGAAGAAAAAAAGAAACTAATCACAATGGCAGAGCCGTGTAACAAAAAAAGGCAGCAGGCTCGTTGCGATGATTTCGCGCTTGCTCATGCAGTACGGAAGTAAAGCGCGCGTGTACAGTACACCAGTATAGAGAGAGAGAGAGAGAGAGAGAGAGAGAAGAGCTAAACGCGCGACGAGAGCGAGTTCAACGACTTGGCAATATAATTACACACACACGCGTACGAGTAGTACGAGTGTGTGTATGCGGTTGCTCCATTCACACTCTTCCTCTGAAGTAATACAGAGCTTGTCGTTATCGTTGCCGGGCGCTTTTTTCTTTCTTCTTTTTTTTCCTGAGACTTCAAAGCAAAGGAGAAAAAAACGAGAGCAGATTTTTACCTCCTGTTAATGAGAGGAAAAATCATCCGCACTCGTGGTTATAATGGATACTAATGAAGTTGTGAATGAAATATCTCTTCTTTTTCCTCTCCCTCACCTCTTCGGTTACTTTTCGAGCAGTTTGCATTTTTACGTCGCAAAGTCCGCGCGCGCGTTTTATTTCCCTCGCACGCAGGCCGGGGCACACGTATTAATAGCTTTTATCGAACAATAATGATCTATACTCATAAAATAGGATTTATAATCTTGGGAATATTCCGCAGAAAGAAAATGTATACAATCATTTCCATTAAAAGCTATAAGCTGCAATTATCGCAAGCGAAATTACCTCCCTTTAAAACTTTTACAGAGATGAAAATCGTAGAAAAAGAAAAAAGGAAAAAAGAAAGAAAAACCGATCGCCGATAATGATTCGATAATATATATCGTATACTAATGAATCGCGTGTACCGAAATAGCAGCATTCTACTCGAGATGCTTCTGCTGCTACACAAGATGCACGTGAGCACGCGCGTATACACACATACATACGTACACACACTCATGATCCATTGTAGCGAAAAGAGCGGGATAATTAGAGATGATACGCGCGGATCCTCATAGAGATCGATCGACGTTTTTCATCTTCGTGGAAAGTCGTGAAAGTTGGCCTGTGTGTTGCAGCACCTGAGCATTATTTTGCGGTAGTAGACATCGACCAGCGTTTATATCTCTTTTTTCGTCGTATGCAGCTGCTCCTCTCCATTTTTATTTTTTTTTTTTATTTTTGAAATTTCTGCACTTCACGTGCGCGCGGGTGCGCTTTATCAACGCGCGAATATCTATGCGGCCGCAAAATTAATGTGGCGTTTTAACGAGTTTAATTTTAGCGCTCGCGCGCACGAGTATTTAAATATAAGTGATACACATTGCGCTTTTATAACGGAGCTTTTCTCTCATTTGAGCGCGGGGCGTCGCGAGCGCGCGCGCAACAAAATAATTCGCCTCGCGCGGCGCGGATTTTCATTAAGTCGAATTGAATGTGTATCGCACGATGTATATTGTAGACGAAGCAAGAGCAGAAAAATTAAATGCCGAGCGGCGGAGAGGCACGACGAGTGCGAGCATTCGTGGCAATAAAACGAGAGCGCGACTCTCGTAGTTCGAGCTGCAGCAGCAGAGAGCGTGGGAGGAAATAATACGAGAAATGTCAATGAGGAAGAAACTTTTCTCGGGCGCGCTTATATTACCCGCGTATATATATAAATCGAGACCATCGGTTTGCATGTGTAATTTCAGGGTTAACTCTGAAATTAACTATGACACATCTTTCGAGGTCGCCGCTGTTTTTAAAATAAAATACCGATAGTTTTATCTTCGCTCTTTTTACGCGCGCTCGCCGCCGTCGGAATTTAGAGTCCAAAAAGTTTTGTGCGCGCGCGATCCGCTGTATAACATATTTTTCTCGAGCTTAGATAGATTACTCGATCTTCGCGTATACATCGTACGGCGTTGCAAAAAAAACATACCAGAAGGTCGGAGCGATGTATTTTTTCGAATAAAATTATCGTGAACATTTGTCATAAGAGTCAAAAGTTTTATTCGAGTTTATATTTTCCTAATGTCATACGTACGAGAGATACCAGAAGCGGAGAGATTTTCATGTCATAGCGTAATTTCAACATTATTACTTCACGGCGCCACGCCACGCATAAGAGTGGCCAGTAAAATTTCATTGCACAGAGATGATGATGTAAACGCAAATTTATATGTACTTTTTCCCGATCATTATGATATTCAACACGCGCGAGAGGTATAAAAAAAGACTCGCGCAGCGTCCACGTGACACGTCCTTATTACACCGTACACGAATAAATCTAATTAAAAAAAGAAAGATTATGGTGCAAAGTACAGCGTGTATATATGACGCAGGATTTATCGTCGCGTACCCGAGAGCTTGCGATTTTAATCGTCGAATGTTGAGCAAGAGTCATCCGCGCGCGAGTCCGTAAATTACCCCCGCGGCAACTTTTTCGTACGTATATACTTTTATCATCGGGAAGCGTGATATTTCGAAGGAGACGCGACGACGATAGCGTAAAAATATCATAATTCGCGTGCATTATATTGCGACCGAAATAAACCTGCAGCTTTTTTGATCGACCTCGCGAATAATAATTCCCCTCATCAATCTCTTGAATGGAACGGCCGAAGTTGTGTGTCGCTTCGTGTATACGATGATTCACAGGTCTACATCTCCATTGCTGTTTACATTGACTTTTAAACGCGAAGATAAGACGCAGGCGTATCTTTACTCAAGAATTAGTTTACTCCGAGGATGTTGTGAAAATGAAATTTATTTGACGCTTTGCTGCGTATATATCCAACTTGAAACAACGTTACGACTTAATCTACGGCCGTCGAGCTTTTAGCTCAATTTTGTATCCGTTAATGTTGTGCGTTTTGTTTGTAAACTATACGCGACAGCACCTGCTGTATGACTTAATGCACAAGAGAGACTCGTTTCGAATATTTATATTTTCTCGATGCCAAAAAAAAGAAAAAGAAATGAGGAGGTCGAACCTCATTGTTGAATCTTCCCACGAGGCCAATTGACGAGTATTATGTGTCGTTTATTTCTGCACGTACACGTCTATATTTTCTTCTGTTTTTTTGTTCAAGCAACCGTTCAAGCCCAAAATCGTTGTATTCTTGTGTAAATTCGAAATCAAGCTCTGTAATCTTTTAGGAAATAGACTCCGAGGCTCGTTTTTCATTCGCAACACGCACGCGTTTAGTTACAAGCCCCATGATGTTTTTCTCCAACATATTTTTTTCGCGCGACGATCGAAAAAAGGCGTGCTGGTGTAAATCTTAATGAATCTAAATCGAAACGAACAAGCTTATATACACGCGCACGCGCGCAGCTATTATCCCCTCATGAAGACATTAACAAGGTAAGCCATGAAGTCTCGGCCGCGCGCGTATCATCGATGAACAACAATCAGCAAGCAAATGAGCCTCCACGTAGAGCGCGCGCCATAAATCTCCGGCCGTAAATGGTCTCGCGTCGAGCTGCAGAAAAAAAAACAATTCGAGGAGTATTTTACTAAGTAAATATCGCGTTCGCAAGGATCGTGTCCCATTACGCTGCGAGAGTCTAATCGAACTTTAAATATGCGCGCGCGGGTAGTACGCACACGTCGTACGTTTACTCTTTCTTTCTTTTTTTCGTTGCCCTGACTTTGCCACTGACTTTATAAATATATATGTGTATATAAACTATATAAGCCTCGCCCCTTGCCGGATGTACGTAATACTAGCCTGGATGCGCTCAATAAGGCCGGAGCCAACTTCCGGACAATACGCGCCAACATACACACTCAAACACGCATGTGCATATAACTCGCGACGGCGAGTATATTATCCGGACGACGACGCTACCACGGTCATATTAGTGAGTGTTTCGAATGTGTAAAAAAGCACAATCGAGCGTAGCTTTGAATTTTTCCCGTCGATAGGTGTACAACGAATTCCAAAGCTTTCGAGGTGCGAAAATAATTTCGCATAATTTATACTTTACGATGCGGCATGGGCAAGCATCGCGGGCCGCGCGCACACGAGCGCGAAGAAAAAAGTAAAATAAATTAGTTTCGTGCTCTAGGATTTAATAATTATAGTATTAGATGCGCTCGCGCGGAAGCTGCAGCGCGCCGGCACATTACGTACACGCGCGGACTCGCGAGGTACTCCAGACGTAAAATTGCGGGAATTTCAATTATTTTTATACAAACAGCGAATCTTTCAAGATTTCGCGTTGCGAAGAACAAGAAGAAGTAAAAAATACACACGTATATTTTTATATTTTTAATAAATTGGCTCGAGCAGGGGCACGCGCGACAAGTGCACGATACGAAGACAATTTTGCAGCGCTTCGATTTACGCGCTTGTGCGTCCTCGAGGATGGACGCCGCGACTCGTTGCGCACACATATATTTAACTGGATCGAGCTTCGCGGCGCTGCTGCTGCACTGCCACCGCCGCGGTGAGTGCACTGCTGGTGCTCCGTGCAGGCGTGTGCGCGCGGATATTATATATGCACGCGAAAAGTGAGAGAGAGAGCGATGATATAAATAACGCAAAATGCTACCGCTAACATCGCCGAGCTGCTGCTAGCATTAGCAGCCTTCTTGGCCATACGGTATATAATAAATTGTATATATGCAGCTGCATTGCTCGCTGCCACTGCTATCTCCGCGCCTGTCTCTTTCTCTCCTTCTTTCGTTCGATCTTAAAAATGTGCGCGCATTATACATGCTCGGCGTGACAGCGAACGCGATACATTTTCATGCTTCGATTACTTTGTATGCGAACACGTAGCGCCCGAGCAATTGGCTGGTGGGCAGTTGTGATACGTATACGTACTCGCGGGAGCTTTCGATATTCAGCTAGAGCTTCTCTTCTTTATTTTCATTAGCGTGCGGAATCATCGTTGATCGTGAGAAACGAAATTTCTGTGGATTTTCTAATTTTCAGAACGAGGTAAAATACAGCCTGAAATCGCACTCGAAATGGTCCATAAAAAACATGTGTATACGAATTCGCAACGGCAACGGCGCAAAAAAGCGATGAGAACGTGTAGCATAGACACACGAAGACGAGTAATAAAAGTGTTTGGGGCCAACACAGTAAAAAGTAAATTACCTCCTCTCTCGTATCACGAACTGCCCGGGGTACCCCTCAACATCGTACGTATTTACACACACTGCACTCGTAGCGTTATTATATAAACATCTTCAACGTTTACACTTCTTCAATTACTCCGGCTGCGCGAGATCTTTTTCCAAATCCCTATGTATACAGCGCGTGGCGCAGCTTAATAATCAACGAAATGATTTTCCTCTTTTTCGCGATTCGTGATATTCCCATGGTCGCTCGTTTTTTTTGTTTTTTTTTTTACACAGCGCACGAACAGTCCCGATATATGTATTTATAAAGAAACGAGTAAAACCTCTTCGATAGTTACATTTTCAATGCGAAGATTAAAGCAGCAACCTTCGAGACTTTGAATAGCGAGAGATGATCGAGAGCCACATGAGAGAGAAGCCAAATGAATTCTTCGCTCAAATGCCACTGACCCATTCGACGCATTAGAGAAGAGAGAGAGAGAGAGAGGTAAAGAAAAAAAGAAAAAGAAACGAGGGCTCGCGTGTTTATAAATTATATTATGCAGATCGATCGAGCCCGAGTACGCGAGCGAGCGTCTCTTCCGCGTGTATTATACATGCAGCGCGAGACACACGCTCACGCACACACACATGCGAAGCTGCACATCGCGTTTTTGCGCGCGCGAGCTTCGCGCGCATTATATACATAGACACAGAGTCACGCTCATATGCACCGACGTCGTCATAAGAATACTTATGAGAAAAAGAGAAACGAGCCAACGCGGACGCGACTCGCACTGTGCGCGTCTAGATATGCACGTATATAGGTACGTGCGTAAAAGTAATAGTATATTTTATATATTCACATTTGGTTTAGAGATGCATGAAACGATATACCTTGGCTCTCGAGTGTGATATTGCGGTTAATGAAGAGAATATTTATACCGCGGGAAAAGAGGATCGTTTACATATTATATACGTATTCCTGTATGCGAGTACTTTATACGTTTGTTTACGATCATCGTCGCCGATTAGAAGCGTCGAAGAGATCGACGTTGACAGCTTATATGGAACGCGAGGAAAATAAATCGAAAATGAATCACGTCGGCCCGCGAAACGAAAGTAACGCGCGCATCGATCCAAAAAAGCTCTGGCGATATCCGTATACACGTAAGAGTAAAAATACAAACCTTGGCCATTGTTGTGGTTGTGCGGGGGCGATGGGGGGTCCCTCTGCGTCAAAATAATTTGACTCTCGAGCATGTTCAGCTCCATCTGCAATTCGTGCAGTTTCTCATTTGAATCCTTGACGAGGATGCTCACCTCGCTCAGCGACTTGCGATCCGTGGCGAGGGCTTTCAGCTTCTCCGCGCCGACTTTGATTTTTAATTCCTGCAAGCACACACACATCGTGCGGGCACGTGAGACAATTACTCATAAATATACAAATCGTTTGGGTGAAAATCATTTAAAAAACCAATGAGAATGACGCTTATGTCTGTATGTACATGAATGAATTGGCTTTTGTCACGAGAGTAGTAGATATAAAGTAATGTAACGTGTTCCTGCTGCTTCCAGGAGAGGAGCGTGTCTGTGTGCCTGTGCCGTCCTGTGCATGTGCATAACATTCAACGTTCACCGTTTCTTCAAACGGTTATGTGTGACAGAATAATAATATATATGTGTGTGTGTGTGTGCAGTACATGGAGTATGCACGAGCGTAGAGGCATCGCGTGTGTATAGCTGCAGCAGAGACTGTTATTTACGATTATAAAAGCGTCTCGCGTGAATCAGCTGCTGCAGCAGAAGCGATGATTCACCGAGTTAATGCAATTCTACTGCACTATAATATTCACCGTATACTTATGATCGTTACGTCAGGCTCTTCCGCAACAACCGACTCTAAGCCGGTGATAATATTGTACAGAGAGTCTCGTCGTCGTCGTCGTCATCGTTGCAAGTGTGTTTGGGAGAGAGAATAAGAAAAAAAATGAAAGAAGAAAGAACAACATTGTCGAGCTTAAAGTGCAACTCGTTTCTTTTCTACGATCGTGTTTGTTCTTGTGTATACACTCTGCACTTGTGCCTCTGTGTTTGTATTAATGACTTAATAAATAACAATAATAAAAAGTTTTCCAGCTTACCTTGCGTATTTCCTTTCTAATGTTCTCCTTGATCTCCTCGAGTTGTACGCCGAGCGGCCGGTCCTGATCGTACACGAAACCATACTTGTCCGAGATTTCGCTAATCAGCGACCTGTAGTCGTTCTGAAAGCATCAAATTGGTATACGTTAGTAATTCAATCCTTTTTCATTCAGCAATTTTTCATTATCCTTATATTGTGCTGCTCAGGTATGATTTATATGTGTCAATTAGTTCATTGTATCGCGTGGGCATACAGATATGGGTTCGTAATTAAAATCAACGATGGATTTGTGCCATTATCGAAAATATCCTCCGAACGAACAATGGACAAGTGTGAAAACGATATAATAAAGCATCACGATCGGACGTATAAATTGCAATCGCGTCGATAAATCCTATCTCACTCTCGCTCAATGGCGCGAGTGTTGTACGACGCGGCGCACAGCGGCATCGAGAGTCTTGTCGCATGGGAAATTAATTGTTGCAAGACACAAGCCAGCGCGATGCGAATATAGAGTCAACAGACGACACCGCTCAGCTGATAAAAATCGCGACGAAAAACAATAAATTAATAAATCCCTATACATGTGTAGATTATATTATAATGCATGATGATCGTTTGTAACGAGCTTTTGACTCGTTCCGACACCTCCCACCCTCATTTCTCTCACTCGCTCTCTGGAGTCATGATGCCGGGGCCTATTGCGTGTGTGTGCAAGTGTGTGCTTCATTTTAGCTTCTCACGAAATGTTTTCGTACAAGCACGTAATCGCTTCTTTTTTTTCGTTGTTATTGTTGTTGTTATTATTATTCTGCGGCAGCCACAGCGCACACAATATATCGTAAATATTACTCGGCACTTTTCCAGGCCAGGCTCGTTATTATCGATATTATAAGTATATACGGAGCGGCATTCAAGGACTATAAAGCCGCAAGACGATATTAGCGTATAACAATTTTTTTTTCTTCTTCTTCTTCTTCTTCATATTAATAACAATTTAATCGTTGTACACTCGTTGATGATCTTATCGGACGACTTGACGCTGCGATTCGATTTCAACATTTTTTTGTCGTATTTCCCTCATTTCGATTGAATAATTGCGTCAACGCGTTCTAGCGTTTGCTAAATATATTTATGAGCAATGAGAATAATGAATAAATGAAAAAAAGGGGTAACATACACGATAACGAATCTTGCTTCGACACGCTTATAAGTCTCGAGATCAATGAGAGATTGCCGTGTACGCGTATTATTTCTTCGATCGTGTACGTTAGGAGACTTGAAAAAAAAATCAATTTCAAATGTATATTGACCAAGCACATCGGCGTTTGTCGTGTGCGCAGGGGATATCATATCCATTTACGTGTGTATCGCAACAATGACTCTAGCGCCCGCGAAAAATGTACGTCTAATCGGTTTTCCATCGATTGAGAATGTTTTTTTACGACAAACAAAACGAAACAAAAAAAATAATTTATCTGACTCTTGATTAAACAATCGTGTCTCGTTTGTATGTATTTGCCACGAGCTTATCGGCCAAATTTAATCGATGACATATCCGCGAAGAAAATATACACTTACATTGCAGCTGTAAGAGCTGCAGCTAGCTGCTGCCGCCCGCGTAAAACGTAGCACACTGTCGGAGTCATCGACGCATTGCCAAAATAGCTTATATTTGGTATTCGTATTCTTTGACTTCCTTTTTGGCCTCGGCATTGCACCGCACTGCACTCTTAGTTGGGCGGACGGACGCACACACGCGCACCACTTCACCGCTGCACTTGGCACTAAATTTACAAAATCGAGATCTGCTACTACGTTGTATATCTATACACTGGCGTTCAACGCAAACGTATTATTGAGACGCGAAGATATATAGATTTTTTTTTCTTTCTTTTTTGTTGTTGCAAGCGTCCGTATATGCCACTGCAAGCTGCATGTACGATTTTTCAAGCTCCCACGGCTTGTGTGTGCACAGTGCAGGACTTCTTATATTACGTCTGTATAAGCGCGGCGAGCTTTTACACAGACGCTCGCGGCGTCGTGGCGGCTTGCACACACGGAAAAAACAGAAGGATGATTATCGCGTGTAAGCGGTCGATGCGAAACGACTGCTAAAACAAAAATGTCACCATTACGGACTACCACTCGCGTACATCACTGTCATCGCACTGTCATCATCGGCACATCGTCGTCGGCATGATGGTGTGTCGCTACTAATATAAGCCGCAAGACTTATCTTGGCTGTATATTACGGTCTCTCTGTCTCTCTCTCTCTCTCTCTCTTTCTCGCTCTCTGCTCGTGTAGAGCTGGCCAATTGATAATCGCGATATGTGCTGTCGAGGCAAAGCCACACACATACACACACACTCATAGACACGCGATAACGTATGTTACTCAAGTATGTGTACGTGCACGTAATGAACACATGTATGCATGTACACAAGCTGCTGGTCACGCACACACATAAGAGGGCCACAGATTGCGACGAGCAGCCGCCGATGATGGTGATCCGATGGCGTTTCTCATCCGACTGCCGACGAGAGCAGAGGAAAATTTTATTATTGTCATAGCTATTCCGGCACTGGCGTTTATTATTTGTTGTTGTTATTATTGTATCGCTAATAGATATTCCGTCGTGTTGCAGGTATCGCCGTGCGCGCACCCGCCATAATTATTTCGTCTCCTATACGAGCAGAGAGTCTGTTGCGTGCAAGCTCCCTTCGAGTCGCACGAAAAGTCGTCGAATCGTCCATGCGTCGAAAAAACATGTAAATAATCATATACAGGCGGACAGGTTCGCTTCGAGTCGCTTTGATGCGCGCAGCACGATCGGCACACGATCTCGCGTGTACTACCTATATACCTATCCGATAGAGGCGGTAATCGCCTGTTTATGTATATCGTCGTCGGCACACGTACATGAGCGGCACACACGCGACAGCATCACAGCAGCACGACGACGAGCAGAGACACGCGGATGACGGGCTTGATAATATTTGCGCGCCGTCGACTTCCTCCTATCGCGGCCATACGAAGACAGTGACTGCACGGACGACGACGATCGTTTGTATCGCTACTGCTGCTGCTGCAGTCGCAAACGCTGCTGCGGCGCTGGGGCACCGGGTATAGAGCTTTTGCGATTTCTCGATCGAATGTGTGCGCGCGCGCGACCGTCTCTCTGCCAAAAAGGAAAACAAAACTTGCTCGTGTGTGTGCGTGTGAGTGTGGATGTGTGTGTTGGGTGCTAACGTCAATACTATTACAATGTGCGCCAAAGACAGAGAGAGAGAGGGATTGATTCTATATACACTTCCATTCATATTTTTGCTACTCTCTCTCTCTCTCTCTCTCTCTCTTTCTTTTCCTCTTTCTGTCTCTCACTCGAGCTTCTTCGCACTCTTTATTTCTCTCAATTGAATCTATTTTTAAACGTTTTACCAAGTCTACTTTCGTATTAGTTAGCGTCTATAAGAGCACATTATAAAATATGCTCGGCTCTTATTTACACACACACGCACACATCAAATTTTCACAAACGGGCACAGAAGAGGTCAAAAGACGTTGCGCACGCGCTCGTATAGCTATATATATATTTCTCAACAAAAAGAGAGAAAAACAACAACAACAAAAAAAAGAAAATCGAAACGGTCACGAACGTTGGCCATTGGCTCACCAAGATGGAAAAATAAAGGAATTCATCGACCGTATACGACGCCCGTATCGAAATAGATCCCTCTTTCATGTATACATCGCGTCCGATTGGAAAAGTGTAGAATGAAAAAGAGCGTTTAAAAAACTTTTGTTACGCAATCGAAATACTCACTTATCGCTTGTGCAAACATATTAAATACAGAAGCGCCTTTTCTACTTGTAAGACTTTGATTTTTGTTTTCGAAATTAAAAAAAAACCATCCGTCAAAGCAAAATTATAATAAATATATCTAATACGGTGTCGGAATTGCGATAACCCCACGCGCGAGTCAATTAAAAGAATTGTAACCCGAACAGAGAATAGCCGTACTCATATACACGAGATTGGGTTTTCCCGCAACGCACTTGGATGGCTTGAGATTTTTATTTCTTTATTTACTTTTTTGCTCGTTTAATAATGGTGCAGATTTGATACAAACTCAATGTCGCGCGTGCTGCTGCCTACTCTCGCATGTATAGTCACGTGACACACAAACACACTGCACACTCCGTGTATGCACTTCACGTGTGCGTCATGAGAGCGAGCGACACAATCTGTCGCGCGCAACGCAGGTAACATAATACGACGCGGCTCCGCGACAGTTTAATAAATGAATCGACGACAATTATTGTGTGCGTGTGCGTCTGCGCGCGTATGTGACGAAATCGAACGCAGCGCACGCGAGTCCTTTATCAATCGCGAGATACATATTTATTGTCTTTTTATAATGTAAGAACAACTGTCGACTGTTGATTTTTTTTATTTTTTATTATTTTTTTGCGCAATTAACGGCGGTATACACGTAGGATATTTACGAGTGTAATATCGATTGTCCATAATATAGAAGCGGCGCGCAATAAAAATCCCAGATGCGAAAAGCTCGAAAGGTGTTTTAACGCGCGATTAGTCACAAGTCGAGTAGTGGAGTGCCCGACTCCGTTATTATATTATGCGTACGCACGTACCGAACGGATCTCTCTCGTGTACATAAATACAACAATAATAATGCATAAGCTGCTGTTCAGCAATTCATATATAAGAGGCAATGAGCGATAACGAGCGGGATATTGCACTATACGTTCCGCCGCCTTATTCTCCGGATGATATAGTTTCTTCCCGCGACGAGATGTGTGTATAGAAGCGTTTAGTCAACCGAGTCATTGTCTATTGACTCTCTCGCTTACTGGCTCCGGACGCACTTGTGTAACGGATACATAATGCGTATATAGGTATACACTTGTTGACGCCTTTGGGAGCGGAGAGCAAATATTACGCGTACGGCGGGGGCCAAGAAGCCCATCGCTGCCTTCTTCATACATACAAGTATACCTCGTTCGAGCGAAGATTTTTTATTTTCATGTACCGAGCCGCTCTACTCCTCAAAGGGTCTAATGTGCTCGTTCTATTTTTCACCTATTGCAAACATTTCGATAAGCCCATTAACTACTACTATGCCTTTATAAGCCATGACACATATCGAACTTCTTCGTCTTAGTCGGTGCTAGCGAGGTCGCACATGTTTAGCTCGCTCCATTTACTCTCTCACTCTCTCGCTGTACACGATTAGGCGTGTTGTATATAGTTTCGCGCAATAAAAGTTACGCTCTCTCTCTCTAACTCGGCTCATACAGCTGCTGCTCACGTAGCTGCGGCTCAGTTACTATAATATACACGTCAAAAATTATGAAACGCGCGTGAGCGAAAAATTTTTCGTACGAACGTAATTTTCCGAGGAGAAAAAATAATGACGCGTTTCGCGGGGATACACCGCCTCCCTCGCAGTTGCTCACATGGTCCGCGGAAAAAAAGTGTACGCAGCTTTTCGGTTTTATAGATACATGTGCGTGTGTGACCGATACGAATGTGAATAATTGTAGTACCGAAAGTGTGCGCGAGGTCGCGATGTACACACATTCCGGGGGACACTTTTGTACGCGAGTATATAAAAAGTGAAAGTCCGCAGCTTCGCGATCTCGATCGATATAATGTACGCACCAATCGTTTCGGACATCGATCGACCGAAACAACTTGTAAAAAAAGAACGAAAACGAAACCCAAAAAAATCAGCTTCAAAATGTATACATTACACGACGGCGACGACGATGATCGGAGGACGCAGCGCAATTTTGAAAACGAACGAAACAATTTCTAAGAAGCGAGCTTTTTTTCACAGTTCGATCTTGTCTCTTTTTCTTTCTAGTAAGTGGCCGCGGCAGCAGCTGAGCGCGAAAGGAAAAATTTCATCACGCTCGCGACGACAGACTCGCGTGGCATTGAGGAGCCAACGTGTGCGTCCAAGAAGCCGAGGCATTACGCACATAGGTATATACCAACTACGTACTCGAAATTCCTAATGCGGAGCATCAAACGTCGAAGATAGCTTGAAAATGATTTTGGCATGAACGTAAACGCACATACTCACGCACGCGCGTAATTCTCACGGGCTATTCTCATTTCTCGTAGCGTCGTGATAAATTACACGGGTATACGCAGAATTAGAGACAGAGGGAGGGAGCAGAAAAAAAATAACAAGAGTATTATTGCAACTTTCACCTCATCGAGTGGCGCACGTCGTTATCAACGGCCGCAGAAACGAAAACGCGACGACGACTAAGACAATTGCTGACATTCGCTCGCGAGGAAAGAACAATAAATTTCCCTTGTCGCATGCGCTTTTGTATATATCGCGTGTATAATCCAAATCATTCTCAGCACAATAGGGTCTATCTCTTTCTTCATTCATTGTAGCGCATACGTAGACACGAGTTACGCTAGTTTCTTTTTTCCGACTGACTCTCGAGACGACGACTTTATAATAGACTCGTCGCAGGATTTCGGCTGTAACATAACAAGAGCGAGCGACTTTACGAAACGCAGCGCATGCAGCAGAGGTTCGTGAGACGCACACGATTCATTGCGTGTATACACAGCGTGTATTATTTCGAGCTCTCTTGCACCTGATACGCGTACACCTGCGCCCGTCGTTTGGCGCGCGCATGTAGCCCAGCCATACACGAATCCAACTTGTACGCACATTTTGTCCAAAAAGCCGTTGCTGCTTTTTTTCCTATGGTTGTTGAAAATTTCGAGGTCCCGCTCCCTCGAACAGTATGTGAGAGATGATTTGATCGAGCGGCGCGCGCGCAAAATGGGGTCGTTTCGCTATAATTGGAAAACTTCTCATAATATAGCCCCCCCCGCGCGCGTCTAAACGCGCCGTTGAATCTTGTTACAATAGCTCACGAGCACGAGAAGAAAGAGAGAGAAAGAGAGAGACTGTTGAACTTACGAAAGAGCCAAATTATTTTTCTTGCCGATGATTCAAACATTTTTTTTAGAGAGAAAGACACACGAGTCATGGCACGAGTTATTTTCTTTCTGATTTTTATTTGTGAGCTTTGGTCCTATAATTCATGGATGACAGAACGGGTACATTCGTTCGACGATGTGTGTTTACCAATTACGGAAATCGAGAATTTTCAAGATAATGATAATTTCGACTTTATAACTATCTAGTGAAACTTGAAAACGGGCAAGTCGAGTCCTCGTACATACATCGATCAGCTGATTGGATTGCCTGAATATACGCGACGCTTAGCAAAACGCTAATCCGCATGTACTGCAGTATTAATTGAATTTACCGTGAAAGAGTAGCAGCCAATACAGCTGCAGCTGTGCACTAGGCTTCGTTATTCAGTCCAACTGATATCGCATTTTTCTTATACACTCTTGTCTGCTCGCAGCAACTGTTTCGAATAATTAGTCGCATGTATTCATACACATAAGTTGGTATCTCGTCGACGATGACTTTCCCTTCAGCTGCCTCGCAACAAACGCAAAACCGTATTATATGTATTACATAGTATAACGTGCACAGGTCGATTTCGCGCCGCAACAATCGTCTAACTTATCATAATGGAAGGATCATATTGTCAGTGATAAATTCATTTTGTCGTTTCTGCCGAGTAGAGGATAGAGGATATATACATCCAGCCCGTGCTATTATACGTGGAAAATCGAGAGATCCTTGTGCATTATATATTGTCTTTCATTTGTTTGTGTGCAGCGAGTGTATACCGTAATATGCGTGGCATACTCGTGCATTGTCGTTTAGGCGCGCGCGAGAGGAGAATAAGAGCGAACATATTATAAGGCACGCGTATGAGAAATGATTTTCTTTCTATTTTCCGATACAATTTTTTTTTTCATTCTTCGCTTTGTTTCACGAGCTTCGAGTTTGAAAAAATGTAATGTATAGTGTATCATAATAAAGACGAAGTAATATAAGGCACGAACAGCAGATACTGCTGATCGACTCGATGTCGCATATTTTTTTCTCTTTTTTTCTCGAGAGTGCGAACGAGAGGGAAACGCCAACAAATCCTAATATGATATTGATACGCAGAGTATGTGTTCATATAAGAGAGACCCGTTGTCAAGGCGCAATCCGTCCGATACATTATAGGTATCGTTTTTGCGAGCGTAGCACGAGCGTGTGTATATCGAGCGAATGAAAAAAAAACGAATTCCGAGATGGCCTTCCGCGAGAGCGAAAGAGAGACGAGAGGAGTGAGAGCACAAGGCCTCCTAACCTAAATTCTCCTCCGAATGTTGCTCCTTCGGCTGATGTTTTTGTTGTTGTCTCGCTACTATCATAGTTTCCTGTACACATCAATGGAGTTCATTGCGCATTTTGTATTTGAATGATCGCTCGCGTGCGTATACATCGTAATGTCAGCCCAAGATTGGGATGTTAATTTTCGGAACGAAAATATTACGATCTCATCGAAAAACTCGTATAAAAGTTGAAACACATCCGGCCCCACAATATAATATGAGCGAAAACGAGTTAAAAACGTTTTAAATGCCTGTGATTAATTTTCATGGCTTATATTATTATAGGCTGTATATGTATGCTATCGGAGATATATCGTGACTGGTCGTCGTCGCCGTCCGATCCGCGGCAGCGAAAACAGAAGCAGCCTCTCTTCGTGTACACATATATAAGACGTGCATTATCGCGAAACATCGTATATAAATATAAATCAATTGCTACTCGTGCTTTCTCTGCCTGCTTTGAGTCGAGATTTCTATAATTAGAGGGGGAAGAAAAAGAAGAAGAGGAAGCTCGACGCGTTGTACATTATTTCGGTACACATTCTTGACCAATAGTCTCGCTTATTTTTACCTAATTTTGGGCAATCTTCCCCTTTCTTTTGCCTCGATACTTTCGCGCTTTTTTTCTCCCACGTGCACTCACACACACCCAGTGCAAGCATATAAGAGGACAAAAAAAGCGGTGTATAATATACGCGCGCACTTTCGGCGTGTTTTTCGGAGCATTGTATAAGCAACAAGTGTGTGCACATGCGCCGTATAATATACGTATAGATCGCAGCCTTATACACCTCCTCCGAAAGTTCGCGCATAAGACATACACGCACACACACACACATATTCTGCACCTATCGCGTAAGGTGTATACGTAAAACCGGCATTTTTCACTTGACTGACTTCTCTCTCTGCGCAAGAGAGTAAGAGAGCGAAATAGTCCTCTCCCTTCCCTTCGTACTCACAAAAAGAAGATTCGATGCTCCGAAATTCACTCTCGATTATTGGAAAGAGCTCGTCCGCGTACGGGGTATATATCGGTGGCGAGACAACGCGGCCTACAACACTTTCCGTTAATATAAACAAATGCCCGAGTAAACTCGGTCTCTCGCGCAAAATCATGGTGTCTGAGTGTACATAAGGGACGTGTCTAGGTGTACACGCGAGACGTAAAACACACTCGTATACAATCATGTGTACATCCGAGCAGCTGCAAAAAGTCGTACACATGATCACGAATGGCCGAGGTTAAAGGGCAATCACGTTGTGTACGTATATGCACGCGCGATACATACACAAAAACGGAGCAAACCGAAAGCCCGCGGAGTTTACATCTATCGGGGTTTGTTAGTGTTATTATTGTTTACGCTCGAATATATGATGTAGCCCTGCAGCAGGTCGTGTTTATACAGGCGCTGCATACACACACACTCGTGCACGCGTGTATGTACACATCTGAAGCGCAACAGGAATTGGCGTGTGCGTTTGCACACACGGACACAAACGCGCACATTTATGCTACGTGTGTTATGATAAAGAGAGGGACTCACCTGATAATGGATCGACTCCGCCATCTTGTCTCTCTCGCACACACGTCTTTCTCTTTCTCTCTCGGGGCAGTAGTAACAGCGGCAGCGGCGGCGTTAGCAGCAGCAGCAACAGCTAAAAGATTCTCGTAGCCAGGCAAACTCGCCCGAAAGATTATCGTTTTCCTCTCTCTCTCGCTCCTTTGTTTCTTCTCTCACTGAGGAGCGATTCGTTTTTTCGTATAATAATATGCGGCAACAGTCGCAGGCAGCTGTGTATTAGCTCCGTTGCTTGTCTTTTCCATACAGAACACGTTGACGCACACACATGTATGTAAACTCGCGCACAAATATATACACAAGCACAGGCACGGGTAAGAGAAGACGAAAAAAACCAAAATAAATGTACGGGCCACTAATACACAGTCACTATTTGGCCGATTAGCCCCGCACGAGCACGAGTCTTCTCTCTCGTCGAGTTGCCCGATTTCGCCCGAGCTCGCACGTCTCTTGCGATTGTATATCTATACACACACACATTTACCATTTATCTTCTATTATTAGTGTACGGGCTCGTGTATATGTGTGTATACGTGAGTATGTGTGTGTGTTCGCGTATTCACCGTTTTAGTACGAGTGTATCACTGCTTGAATATCGACGATCTTCGAAACGCGCCGATCTCGCCAATGTATATGTCACCATCTGCGCGCAGATCTCTCTCTATGTACGGATGAATGAGATAGAAGAAACAAACAAAAAACCAACGATAACAACAACAACAACAACAACAACAACAACAACGGCAATGAAGTAAACCGCCGGCACTAAATATTGTGAACACTATTAAGGAATTTCGAGGATTGACTTTTTCTTGCTCGATCTAGCGATGATCATTGTGCTCCTCGCGGCCGTTGTTGCAGGTAACTCGTAGCACATCGTCGTCCTCGAGCGTACGATATAACTAGCGGGCGGCACACATCGGCGGGAGAGATCCACCTGCACGCGCTGCGTCGCTGCTGCTTGGCGTTAGTGTCTGCTTTTGTTACAGATGTATAATGTACGAGAGTCGTCTTCTCGGGCTCGCTACTCGTAACCGCGGCCGTAATAACTATCTTGACTTCTACGGAGCCCCCCCGCGCGCGCCTCCGAGTAGTGTATGTGTCGTATATTTAGCGAGAATTACGCGTCTCTGCGTAATTCCTCGATGACGAGTCTTCGATCTTCGGTTCTTCGTGCTGTAGCGGCAGAGTACAGTGGCAGCCAGGCGGTGGCAGAGAAATTTCCGCGATGCCTCTGTCAACGACGACAACGACGACAACGACGACAACGACGACAACAATAACAATAGTCGTGGTACACCTGCGAGTGTATGCGTGTTATTGTGGCTCGTACTGAATGCACGTAGGTACACAGACTTTAGAGTCGAGATGTATCGTGTAGGCCAACACCTCAACGAATTTTAATAACTCTGCACTGATTTTCAAAACGGAGCAGCGAACAAAACACACCGCTGCGACTGTGCGGCGCTTGGCATTATATAGGTTAGAGTGCGAATCCAAAGCAAGTAGTAAGTCCGCTGCAGTAGGCACTGTTTTATATCGTTATTATGTTTTCATCGCAGCACTCGTGTGCAGTATCCAAAAGGGCAGCTAAGTACATGTAACGAGCGAATCGCAGTAACGCTCGCTTAAATATCGTACACAAACACACGCACTGCCAATGACGACAACGACGAGATACTGATGATTCTTCCGAATGCGATATCGATCAAAGATCACAGCATTCCGAGGGTAAAATTCCGCAGGAGAGAGATAGAACGCGCGGCACGGCGCGTCGTTCGATTTGGATTTTTGCAGGCACGCTGAGTACCGCGTGTCACACGTCACGAGTATAGAGAAATATTATTGTCACTTCTTTTTCTTCTTTTATCAGAAGCCCGAGAGAATCCAGAACTAAATCGAGGAACTGTCGTGCGGGCCTACGTAGAGCGATCGGATGAAAAAAAGGAGAAAAAAACGGCAAAAAAATCCAACGAATTTTGGACGTATACACGGAGTTTTAAAACGGAGCAATACGTGCATACGCCGCGAGAGACGCGCGACTGTTGATCCGCGCGACGGCGGCGGCTGTGGCTGTGCGAGCGAAACGAGCCTGCCTGCCTGCAGCAGCAGCGCAAAACTCGCCTCTCCGTATAGCGCGCGAGGTATAACACACACAATAAGACGAGTTGCGGACAAAACTATATAGGCTCCGCGCGTATGCACTGCATATAATATAGTAGGATGCTATGTACGTATAGAGCTATATATGACGGGTGGAAGAGAGAAAGAGATGCACTGCTATACGAGGTTGCGAGAGGAGAAGAAGAGGAATAAAAAAAACCGGGAGTCAGGTATATTATTCGTACATATATACATCGAGAGTGGGAGGAGAGCCGATGCTCGGTTGCGGAGAGAACTAGATGCTGTGCTCTCTGTGTGCTGCTGCTGCGTGCACGTAATTTTTCATTTATATATCCGTATGCATATATATATACTTTATGTGTAAACGTGTGTTGAAGCACGAAGCGATATCTGCACGAATGGATCGGAGCAGCTGCATGCGGTATTGTGTACGTTAATACGCGGTACTGCAGAAATTTTAAAGCCTCGTTTAAAGAGCCGATTTCTGACTTATCGGCGCGATACGCAATTTTTTCAATTATTTTTGGCATATTCTTTTGATGGTAAATTTTTATCAACGTATATCTTTTATTATTGATAAAATACTTTGGAACATTTAAAATTTCGTATCGTCCACGATGCACGATGTAACACTCGAGTCAGTGCTCGAGAAGGGCCTTCGACAATTGATCGGGCGTGTGGGTGAACAGGGCGCCCGGATTCTGATACTGATTCCTCGGGTCGTAGCAGGCCTCGTATAGCTGCTTGTAGATCGCCCCGATCACCTCGAAGGCCCGACGCTGCGTGCTCGAGCGGTGCACGCTGCTCTGCAGCAGCGATATCTGCGGCAGCAGCAGCACGTCCGGCATCACCAGGAACGTGTCCAACTTGTTCTGCGACGGCGAATGAATAACATTAATAAATGATTCAGGCGTCTTTGAATTGTTCGTGTTCAATTGGGGACTCACCGTGAATTCTTTGATGCTTAACGGGTCCATTCCGGGTATCGTCGATAACGGCCCTTGATCCTTGCCTTGTAAAATTGTGTATATCGGTCCTAGATTTAAATGGGCGACCAAGGAGCTCGCTTGCTCCGACGTTAAAGTATCGATTTGGGCGTCTGATTGTGCCTGATAGAAGGAAACAATTCGTGAAACGTAATTCAATATTTCAAGCTGGAGAATTTGATAAAAATGGTATCAATTGTATTCAGAATCATACTTGTAATCTCTCCAATCGTTGGTCCATGTATTCATAGAGTGCTAGAGTGGAATGTATTTGATGCATACAATTCAAAAGGTAGACTGCCATATCAACAGTTGGAAGTCTTGAAGCAGTTTCGTTTACTTCTTGCAGAAGTGGGTCAATAATACAAGAAACAATCTGAAATTTAATATTCAATTAACACATATTCAGAGCTGATTTTGTATAGTTTCAGAGTTTAATACCTGCAGCATATCTTTTTCTCTATCTTCAGCAATACTTGCTACTGATAATACTTCATTGAGCAATGACAGTAATCTGGATACAGAAGGAGATGGCACTAAATCATTAGCAGGTGGTTCAGCTCTTTCACCCAGTGCAGTTCTAGTTTCTCTTTGCAATCGACTAACAAAACTTTTTTCACTCAAATCCAATAAGTCACCAAACATTCTATCTAAAACACTGTCATGCATGATTGGTTTCAGAGTAGCTCTATAATATCTAATTAATGTTGTAACAGAATAAAGTACTGTTGATGGTGCCTCTACTGCCACAATATGTTCTATCCTAGATTTTAATGGATGGCATAAACCTTCTGTTATAGTACTAAGAGCTTGGTCTATTTGATCTGTCATATTTGTTTTATCACAGAGTTTCAATAAAACTAAGAGATTTTCTTTTTCCACTGGAATAGCTTGATGTAACCAAGCAAGAATATCTCCAACATATCGTTTTGGATCATTAGCATGCATTTCAATGGGATTAGAATCGCTCCCTTGACCTTTTCCTAATGTCAAAGCATCAATAAAGGCACTTACTATTGTTGATCTTCTATTTGTACAATATTCATCTAGAATGTATTTAAATAAAACTGGCCTAGCTTGGAGTTTACTCATAGATTTTACAAGAAGTGGAATTAGTTGTTCATTCTCAACATGTCTGCATTGAGTTTGCATCCACCTGTAAATTCTTTCCAGAGCAGCCTCTTGAACTGAAGTCATATCCTGCATTATATCTAATGCTAAAGTTTGCATGCCTAGTTTTAACAATTGCTGACAGTTATTATGAATTTCCTATTTGAAAATGAATATTTATTAATAAAAGATGTTTCAACTTTTATATATTTTGAATTCTATTTTACCTGAGCTCTATCTAGTACAGAAAAGAATTCTTCAGTTATTGGTGCATCTTTTGAACTGCCTTGCAGTATTGCTGTTTCTTCATCTGTTAAGGTAAAAGTTTCTATCAAGGCAGCAATTATTTCTTGTTGTTTTGTAACTTTGTCACTATAAAATAATCATAGCTATGAGTTTATTATAGTTTTGAGTAGACTTGAAAATACAGGTAAAAAGCATACACTTCAAATTGCAATTTTTTAGCTTTTGCAATAATATCTGTAGAATCTGATTTTGCCTTTTGTAACAAATCAGTAACTTCATCCATATGTTTGCCCATGCCTTTTGCACCAATGTTCATACGATCCAAAATATCTTTCACAGCTTTATAAGCTTTTGCCTCTTCTTCATCGAGCATTTGACCTCGCTCTTTCAAAGTAGTTTCTAGATTTTTCAATGATTCTTCTGTATTTTCAGTGTAAAATGTTGATATGTACTTGAGTGCTTCTATGACTTCCTAAAATTTATAAAACTTTATATTTATCACACTTGTTAAATATGATGCTTGAGTAATTTAAAGTCAACCATACCGGGTCATTTTCCGGCCGCTCATCCACCAAGTATCTTATTTTTCTTCTAATTTCAGCGACTTCGGGATCCTCGCTTTCGATATCTCCAGGCACATTTTCCATTTTAACAAAAAAACTAAGTATCTAACAACTTTGAATCAAATATTAAAACCAAAGTGTACTGTTAAATCCACATTACTTATCACAAATGTTCTGTAGTGTTGATACTCATACGGTCTGCTGGGGCTATGTCAGTAGATGAGGACATCAATTTTATTTCGATCAGCTATACGTATGTATATACGCGGTAAACATAAAACAGGCGTGATAGCTTCTGTCATGCTAGAGCCGTGTTGTTGACATCCTACCTAGTAACGCGCTTATCGTCCATCCGAATGCACTCGGGTTTCAAAAGTTTCAAAAATTTTACGAGAAAACTAGTGGGTATTCGCCTATGCAGCGAGACATAAATAGGTATGATGGTCGTAAAATTTGTTTTGAGTCCGACTCGCATCGCGTCATCGTTCTAGCAGACGTCGCGCTTTTGATAAATTATACATTATACATTTGCGTACAAAACCTCAGGTTGGAAAATGCGATAGATTCATAATTGGCGTAGGAGTGTACTAAAAAAGTTTATCAGCGCAATGTAATCACTTATCATCGTGCTAAGCGAATCTTGGTATATATGTGAAGATTCGGAACTAGTATTATTCTACGAGTGATAGCTTCAAGTGCTCAACTGTTTGATAAATAAGACGTCTTTGTCAAAAATGTCTTCTGACGCTGGTGAACAACTTTACAACAAAATTGACACGTTCGTGTTCTTTGATTTGGAAACAACGGATTTGATAAAAGGCTCTTTGATGCCGAGAATCCTGGAATTATCAATGGTGGCTGTATCCAGAAATTCATTGCAATCTGATAAGAGAAACAGAATGGCATTGCCTCGCGTAATGCAGAAGCTCACACTGATTTTCAATCCGATGCAACCAATCAATTATCATGCTTCAATGGTTTCAAGTAAATATAATATTTCAATCAAATAAATTGTTAATCATTATCTAATTATTATTATTTAATACTCCTTATTTTTAACAGACTTGTGGATCGATAATTTGCAAAGCTTGAAACCATTCGATCAAAATGCTTACAACACAATAATGGAATTTCTCAATAGATTACCAGGTATAATTTGTTTTGTTGCGCACAATGGCAGGAACTTTGATTACCCAGTATTTTTATCAGAACTTGAAAAAATTCAACAAGTAAGGAATATTTTATAAAATGATTCTTTGTTAAATTTATTCCATAATGATTTTCAAAATTTTTAAATTAATTTTAGAATATACCAGACAGCATCTTATGTGTGGATTCCTTTGATGCCTTCAAAGAATTTTTCACTGATGCACCAAATTTACCAGATCCACCAATGGTACCACAAGGTTACGATGAAGTGGATGAAGAAGAAATGGAAAGAATGAATCACTCAAATATATCAATTGATGATAATTGGGATGGTGCTTTATGCATGGCAATGGATGCATATGAACTCAATTCTCCTGGAAATATGGAGATCACTCGCAGAGAAACATGTTCCAATAATTCAGATGGTAAGGATGTATTAGATGCTATTACAAATAAAAGTTCAGAGGCAAACACTTCAAATAGTACACCAGCAAAATCAAATACTTCAAATAACATGCAAGAATTGAATGAAACTACACCTTCAAATCAAATGATTAGATCTTCTATGAATTCTGCTCTAACACCCTGTAAAAAGTTAAATAATGCTAGAAGAGTGTTAAATTATGGTAATACAAAGCCAAAAAATTTTAAGCTTTGTTCATTGCATGAGTACATGACTGGTCAAGAAGCTGAAAATCAGCACAGTGCTGAAGGTGATTGTATTAGTATGTTGCGATGCATGTGTCAAATGGGTATTTATTTTGCTGAATGGGCAGACTCAGCAGCTGTGTCAATGAATTACATTAAAAAAACACGTCAATTAAGGATGACATAAAACAAAATCCTAATCATGGAACTATTCTAAATTTAACTAGTACAGTTATGAAGAATTTTATAAGTATTTAAAATTTTTTAAAAATAATTTTATAAATGTGATGAAACGAGATTATAAAAATCTATTAAGTATGGAGAGAAGTTTATAAGATTTTAAAATTATTATATTAAGTCATGAGTTTACACTCTGGTTGACACCAAAATCTATATTAGTATGGAAACAATTATATTTTTGCACGAATTAAAAATACTTTGATCCTATAATTAATCATAAGAAATAATATTCTCAACTAAAAATAAACTATACGAATACAAGCATGAAAACATGTATTAATATTTTATAATGTAATTATAAAAAGATGTTTATCGACGTAAATTGACAAAATATATTAAGACAAAAATAATCTGCTTTTTTTAAATTCTTTTATGTACATCTTTTATGTATGTATCTCAATGATACTTAATTTATTAGATTTCTGGAGTGTATTATTATTATAATTATTGTACTGTACTTATAGTATTTCTGCGAAGATGCATCATAAGAAAATTCGAGCTTCCACGTGATGTTAAAGCTAATGAATTTCAAAAAAAATGTCAAAAAGGATCGAGTGGAGGCGCCGGGTATCGATCCCGGTACCTCTCGCATGCTAAGCGAGCGCTCTACCATCTGAGCTACGCCCCCTGATGATGAGTAAGTTCAGCTTATGAATCGTACAAACGCTGCAATATTCTTATAGAGCATTGAAAGTTGAAACTTCCGTGAAATACTAAATCTGCTTATAGAAGTAAAATTTCTGAAGTCGACTGTGCCACAAGACAATTTTTTTGTCCATCACAGATATTTAGTATCATGAGATAGTAAAAAATTAATTTCTTACCTCATTGAACCTTACTCACCTCATTCATTTTAATATCTTGTAATTTAATTGTCAATTTATTCGATTTCTAATTACATTTTCATAATTTTCTACATGTACAGAGTGTCAAGAGTAGATACAAAAAAAAAACAATTTCAATCAATTATAAAATTTTGAGATCAATATAGTAAAAAAATGTTTGAATAATTTTAATTATGCATGTTAACTTTTCAATTTAATAATTTATCGTAATATGTTATCGATTAAACACGTGTGTGTCTGAAAAGGTAAGTAGTTTTAAATATCATAATTGAATTAGTTATATTTTATTCAAAATGTCTCTTTGTTTTTTGCTGTGGGTATTAGGTTGTATAGTTAATTAGAGTCAATAAAATTTCGAATTATTTAAGGTACCATTTTTTCACTCAGCTCATTTAACTATCGTTGGTGCTCGGAGTAAAAATTTTATCAAGTAGTCGATGAAATTATACAATTATACAATCATTTAAAAATAATATAGAAAGGTAGTCATATTCAAGACATGATGATTTCAAGCAAACTTTCGAATTATGCGCCACTGAACCGATATAGCTCGAGGTGCGGCGCGCCTTGCGACGCGCAGCTGGTTCGAGTCATTCGTTTCTTCAAAGTTCAAGCCTCTAGCTTCGAGATCGTCTGTCCACCTTTAACCTAAAAAGTTTTATTAAGGGTACACTGCCGGTATCCCAACACGTGTGTTTATTCAAAGAGTTCAACAAGTCTTTTAAGTTTAAACAAAGTAAATTTCAATCAATCCAAAATGGCTCTCGGCAAGCGTAAGTCGACTACACCACAAAATAAAAATAATAATAAAAAAGCACGAGGACCGTCGAATGTTAATACTGACAAAAAGAAGATTCAGAAGAGAAAACCCACTCAAAAGAAACCAAATGTGGATGATAAAAAGTTAATTAAAAAAGAAAATTCTGAGTCTACTACGCCAGTAAAAAAAAGTTTTGACAAAAAGAAGATCCAGAATAAAGGACCAAGAAAACCCAACTTGGATAAGGCGAAAATGATCAAAAAAGAAAAGGAGACTGCTGAGAATGAAAAGCCTAATTGGCTTGAATACAAAAAAGAGCAGAAAGAGTTGAGAGAAAAACGACGTGCCAAAAAATTGGATGATGCTTATGACATTGTCATTCAAGCCAAGAAAATTGGAGAAAAAATCAGACGGGCAGAATTACCCAAAGACGAACAAGCAAAATTGACAAAACAACTTCATGACTTATTAAAAACTCATTATTTGAAGATGATCTTCATGCACGACTTGTCCAGAGTAATTCAATGGCAAATCAAATACTCCAATCCAGATATCCAATTGGAAATAGTAACTGAAATACGACCTCAATTAATCAAAATGTTCTTTTGTAAGTACTCAAAAAATATTATCAAAACATTGCTTAAGACTGCTGGATCATCAAAAATAAAACAAGAAATTTTAGAGGTATGTTATGGTAATGTTGTTAAATTAACCAGTAGTGTTTTATCGGCATCTATGTTTGAAAAAATATACGTTGAAATTGCAAGTGTACAGCAAAAGTTAGCTTTTAAGCAAGAATTTTATGGCGATTATTATAAAAAATCAAAGGACAAGAACATCAAATCAGTGACGGATGTTTTTGAACAATCTCCAGATATGAAGTCAGCTACATTAACAGCTATGAAAGCTAATTTGAACAAGATCTTGAATAAAAACTTGATTAATTCAAGTCTTGTTCATACAGTTCTTTATGAATTTTTATCACACTGCTCAAAAGAAGATAAAGATGAAATAATGGCTTTAGCTAGACCTTTGATCGCTGAATTGTCACAGACAAAAGATGGTGCTAAGGCTGCAAACATTTGCATTTGGAACGGTACAAATAAGGACAAAAAAGTTATGATGAAAACTCTAAAAGAACATGTAAAAAGTATAGCTACATCTGATCATGGATCGCTCATGCTTATGTGTCTATTTGATGCAGTTGATGATACTGTATTACTTAAAAAAATTATCATTCAAGAGATAATAAATAACATTGATGAGATTGCTGCAGACGATTGTGGTAGAAGAGTTATTATGTACATGGTTGCCAAGAGAGATTCAAAATTCTTCCATCCAACAACCATAGATTATTTGAAACAAGGAGACAATAATGAATTCACTAAAAAACCACAAGAAGTCAAAGCTAAAGAAATTTTGGAAAGTGTGAGTGAAAATTTGCTTGAAAGCATTAGTGAGAAACCTTTAATGTGGTTGAATAATGGTAAAATTCAAATAGTTACATTAGCTATTTTGAATAATTGCAGTGGACCCAAACTAAAAGAAGCTTTTGCTTCTGTAGCAAAATTCATTACAGACATTGATTCTGTAATGGACAACAAAGACAAAAAAGATGAAAAGATTAAAGCTATTGAAGAAGCTGGCTTACACATGACTTTAAAAAAGATCATTCAAATGGACCAGAGCAGAAAAGAAAAACAAGAAACAACTTTTGGAGAGGTTCTTCTCGAGTACCTCACTGAAGAAGTATTAGAAAATTGGGTTAAATTCAATAGAGGATGCTTCTTATTAGTTAATTTTATTAAATGCGAATCAGAAGAATGCGTTAAAACTTTGAAAGAAAAGCTTAAAAATGTTAAAAATCTGAAGGCAGAGTCAAGTAAAGGAGCAGAGATATTGCTTGAAAATTTGAATTAATGTTTTTATAAATATTTATGTTAATATTAATTTTTTGTAATATAATACTATATAAATGTATAGTACCTGTTACCTGTAAAATAAAATTATTTTTAAGGATAAATCAAATTTAAATGTTTTTCTTACACACAAAGCCTTTAACCTTGCAGAAATTATGAGAAATTTAATAATGATATAAATTTTCAATTGTAATATTTTCAATTTTACTGCCCATGAATAATTTACAAATAAAATTTGAACTTTTTTTTCTTAAATAAGCTTTCATTTACATATGGTTACATGCATTTTTACGTTTTGAAAGCGAAACGATTCAATGTAAGAGTAAATAATAATTCAAAAATAATTCAAAAGAAATAGAACTGAACACTCAAACATCTGAAATTTTAACTCATTTGAATTGATCGAACATTTATATAATTGCACTGAATAAATCGAATACAAACGATTTCGTCAAGCAGCACGAGAACTTGCAATTCTCTCATTGATTTCATCAATCAAATACGGATCAATTATAAGTAAAATATACATATGCAGAGGCTCTTAAAAAAAACGCACAACAAAAAAAATATCTACGGCTCGTTGAGCGCCGATTTCAATAATCATTGATCGTTGAGCACGAGTCCCAAACAACAGCTCAAAACGCCAGGAGGGCCAATAGCCGCCAATAACTGCCGACTGAATTGCGAGCCTTGCAGCTGTGGCTCGAAGTGATCCCGCAGATACTGGCGAAATTCCGAGTGAAATTTCTGTCTGTCGCGCTCGAGCTGCCACCGCTGGGCTCGTAGCGATTCGTACTCGCGTTCCTTGAGCTCGTCGAACTCCAGCCGGAAGTTGATCTTCTGGTCGATGCAGTCGCGCGAGCACATCAGTATGTCGCTCATGCACTTGTTGGCCTGGACGACGTTCGGATCCAATTTTCCGAGGTAGCTCTCGCGGGTCGCCGCCTCGATCGCCCTGGCGAGCACTCGCGGGTGCACCATCGCCGCGAGCAAGACCGCGGCGTCGCTCAGGGGGCTGAGCTCCTTCTTGACCATGAAGGCGATGGGCTCGGGAGTCCGCAGCAGCGGCTCCGCGTCCCAGAAGTATAACGACTCCTCGGGGCGCGGATCCTCGCTGGGCAAGTGCAGGAAGTGCAGCACGCACTCCTCCAGGCTCCTCGTGCCGACGTGATTGCTCACCTTAAAGCGGGACGAGTGAGAATTATTAATATTTTTTCGCCTTAGAGCTGATGAACGATTACCTTTTTCCAGTCGCTTCTACCCCCTGTGTAGATTTCCAAGGCCTCGTGCAGCAACGAATTCTCTTGCTCCGTCCATTCGGGTCTAGTTGTGGTACCTTCGACTTGCGTGTTTGTAGATGCATCCGACTGCTCCTCACCCTCGCTCGTTATTGCTTTGAAGAGTAGGGACAGTGCTTTTCTGCGCTCGTAGATTCTCGGTCTCTCGAGCTTGGGCAACGACTGTTCGGCGTAGTTTCGGCTGCCGCCGCCACTCTGGAGAACGTCGGACAACTTGACGTAACAGTCCTGCATTATTTTTGGCTTTTTAGCCGATTGAGGCGTTTGGGGTGATCCGCTCTCGTTGGCAGGTGTCCCGAGCGATTTGGGTGTCGTGCACTTGCTCGTAGGCGTCCGATGGTCGGCAGCTACGGCGCTATCGACCGACGAGAACGCTTTGCAGGGGAATTGCTTGGGTTTCCGGGGCTTCAAGTACATCCTCATCCTCGGCCGATAATTGATCAAGCCCCACTGCTCGAGGAAGCCGTGGATCCGCGCCAGGGCGCACACGTCGCCGGGCAAGTTTCGCCTGCAGGCCGTCAAGGTGAGATAGTCGCTCGGCTGCACTCGATACGTGTCGATCATGAAGTTCCGGTAGAACAGATACATCTCGGGCGTCTTGCTGAGAGGATTGACGTTATTGAAGAACTCGGGCAGGGCTCGGCGCTCGATGTGGTGGATCGAGGCGTAATCGAACCAGCCTATGGTGTAGCTCGGCACGACGATCAAATCGCTCTGATCGACGCGATCGTCTTTCTCCTCGTCCGCGGTGTCGACGCTGTTGTCGACTTTGTCGTTGACGTTGTTGTTGTTGTTGTCGGTTGCCTGACCCGCTGCGGCCTCACCCGAATGGCTCTCTTGCTTTTTCGCGGCTGCAGCAGCTCCCCCATTTTGGGATAGATCGTAATGACAATTGTCGTCGTGAAAGTCGATGCTCCTCTTCGCTTCCTCTTGTTTGTTTTCGGGCGATTTCTTCTGCTCGGTCTCCGATTTTACTTTAGTCCCGAACAGTTCGAATTTATTTTCCGTTGCGAGACGGCTTTTTCGTTTTGGCCTCATGGGGATTCACTTTGTGTCTAGCAGTTAAAACCCTCAATCAACGATACATCTGTACACGAAATTTTCAACGCGCTACTGATGCGCAATATCACTTGGATTGTACTGTACGGAAGGGAAGCAGATGACAGCCAGAGTAATAAATAAAAGGCCCAAAGCTCGCAATGATTGTTATTGTTTACGATCGCGCATGTAACTGAGCTTCCCCAGGCTAATTTTATTCTCACTTAGCTTGGCTGTTGATAGGGTGAGCAATAGCTTCGGTTTTTAATATTACAAAATTAATTTATATTTTTCCTCGCTTTAGCGAAGGTACGGAACAAAATTGGACTATAAAGAATCAAAACTTTATTATAAAAATTCATATAGCATGCAAGGCGTAAGACAGCCCGGTCGCAATAATGAGTGAAATAAATTTAAATTTGTTGTAGTTTTGTGTACATGATATTTATTATAAGTTTGGTGTAATATTCACGTTTATTATTTCAAGTACGAAACTTATCATTATCATAAAAAATCGTTAAAATATTACAATTATTCAGTAGTACCTTGGACAGAGTTAGCGACGAAAATCTTATCTTTTTAGAGGATCGTACAATTCCAATTCCCAGCGGGTTCTTTTTCATGTTCTACGTAGTTGAACTCGTACTCTGGTCCTGATTCAACATCCAAATAATCAGAATTATAAAGAACACCAAGATCATATTATTAAACTCATTATCATCCTTTCTTCGGCGATTATAATAGCGATTATTATAATTTTGATATACAACTCGAAAATTAGCTAAAAGAAAGTTTCCATCATCAAAATTAAAAGTAAAATATTAATCGTCATTGCATATCAAAATCAAAATAAAATCATTTTACTGTAATATGTATAAAAAATATAATACCTCGTATTAAATAATTAGACTCGTGAGCAGTTACTGAAATTCAAGAGAAATAAATATTTTTCATTAAAAAGCATGCATTAAATTTAAGTAAATTATAAGAAAAGGTGTAAAAAAATGTATAAAAAAATCAAATATATAAAAAATTATGCCCCACAAATCTTTCTGGCAAGTATGAGTTGATCGCTGTCCATTTTATCGTCGATCTCGTCTATAATATTGCGAATACGATTGGCATGATTCTGCATAGTAGCCGATGACATCTTTTCGAATAAATTCAGCCCCGAATGCCAGAAGAACGGAAGCTTCTCTTTTTCCAAAGCTTCCTTCAATTTTCTTAGTCCCTGTGTGTTAATATTTACTGAAGCTTTTATTCCGCTTTTAATTTTATTATCAATATGTGTGATACGTACGTGCATAAATAGCCAAGTTTTAGATCCTCTTACGAATTGATCCAAGTCTTTTTTGTGATTCTCTAATTCGTGGAAGAAAATCGTCTCCATATAGTAACTTACAATACTTTTTAGATCATGAGTATCGCGGAATTTCTAAAATAAAATCATATTTTATTCAGAAGTTTATATCGTTACTATTACTACATGGCTAAAACTTACCTTCATTAATTTTATTATAGACTTCACTGCACCGCTTTTATTTAACATAGCTTTTTCATTTTCGGAAAAGGATAAACGCCAAAGTAAGTTATCATTCCATATTGATCCGTATAGTGGTTTTGGTACCACTCTAAACGGTCTCTTCTGCAAAACGAATAAGTCTTAGCACATTGAGCATAAAATTATTATTAATATTACATAAAGTTATACATCTTCGTTATATCTTTTGTATCCAGAACTTAACTGGACACCATTGAATTCAATACAAGGTACAAGATCGACGTCGAATACGTCATCACCGTTCGGCTTTCCGATCATGATCGTAAATGCAGGACCTGATTTTTTGTGTCTCATCTAGCAATAATTAAAAGTACATTAGTTTAAACATTTGCTAATAATTTTGTAATTTAATGAGTGAAATAATTACATAATAGGTTCTTCCCCCGTGGTATAATTCGTATCCAGAAGGGCCCCTTCGCAGAGTATTGAAAGCTGACATAATTACACTTTCCAACCACGAACGGAATTTATTTTGATCCAAGTAATCATTGGAATCTGTTATTTTTTTGAGTTCTTCTTTATACCGTAGACAATTGGGATCTCTTCCTCCTCTATAATTGATCTTTATTTTTACATAACCGACTTTATTGTGATTTGTATCAATCTGTAAAAATGAAATTCGAAGATGTAAAAATAAAGTTTGAATGGAATAGTGTAATCTACTTACCACTAAATCAATGCTCCAATGATCTAATTTATGTACCAAGTACAGATCAAATTCATTTGGGCTACCATATTTAGTTCCCTTATAATAACTTCCGCCGAAGGCAATCCTATTAAAAATTGTTTCAAAAAGTTTGTTGTCCTTTTTCATCAGTGGAATGAGTGTCTCATTAACAATCTAAAAATGTATAAAACAAATTGTTATTGTAACTTGAGTTTCAATTAACAAAAAAAAATATTTTGAAAAATAGACGATCAAAACTGCACCGCCATTTGCTATCAAATTGTTTTTTCAAACTTCAAAATATATCGGAAAAGTTTCAAAGATCTGTGATCTTTATTCGATCGATTATCTTTTAATCGACCTTTCCATTAATAATTTCCGAATCTAGTCGGGTTTACTGTATTTTATATGCTTCAGCGCAAAAACCGCACTAATAAATTCAAGGGACAAAAGAGGACCTTAGTCTTTTGCTAATTAGAGAATAGAACTAAGGTACGTTTTTGCCTCTTGAATTTATTAGTGCGGTTTTGCGCTGATGCGACGATATCGTGTAACGGGGATCCCCGTAACGTAAGCACTAAGCACTTAAGCAAGTACAGCATATCGTAAGATATTAATACGATACAAACTGATAAAAACTTATTTGTTGAAAATATTGTTCGTTTGAAATTATTGTACGTTTGAAAATATTAAAAAAAAAAAAAATTTATTGAATACTTGCCGCTCTTAATAGCTCGTTGTTTTTTGTGCACTCTGCATCGGCCAGCGTTAAATAATCCTTCTCGATCTTTTGAAAAACCGTATCATCTCGATACTTTTTTTCCGTATACACGGAACCCTGGGGTACGACGTAGTTCGTCATCTTTAACTCTCGAAAAAAGCCCAGTAGTCTTTACAGAAAAGCAAACGTTCAACTCTGTGGGCCAGTTGAGAAGACTATGCGAAGTCGCTCGAACTTCAGTCGGCGTTTTATACTGCACGAAGCGCACGAAGCGCAGAGAAGCAAGAAAAAGAAATAAAAATATGAGCGCGACCCAAGCTTCTAGCGACCAATCGGCAGCCTCAACGTATGGCGTAATCTCGAGAAGCGAGCCTCCTCTCTGCACTGTTCGGGCGTCTGTGAATTTTCGATTTACAGCTTGTGTGCGTCGCTCTGTAAGTTGCGCGAAATAAAGGGCGAGAGCGAACATTTGCAGCTATAAAGATATGTAAAAACTTCCTCAAACGGAAGTTAAATGTACCACTTCGTGCTGCGACCATGTGTGTTTGTACGCAAAAATGTGATTGACTTCGTTTCGTGTTTATCATCGGATGCGCGCGAAACGCGTTCTTTCTCCGGGCCTTCAATGATTATAATATTCGTCAAATATAATGTAGCCGTATTAATTAAAAACTGGTTCTAAAATAATCGATTCTCAGCAAAGTATATGCAATGTATTTTTGAATGTAGTTTATAGAAAGGCAACGAATCAATGAATTCTCTGTAAAGCAGAGAGAAACACGAGCGACGTTGCAGTCCTACATGTATAAACCGGCGAGAATGCTAATTTTAAAATTGTTTTTAAAACACATACGATACAGCAGTATAAATATTCAAAACTATTCACAAAGCCTCAAGTTACTGAACTTTGTTTCCACTCTTTTCTTTACTCGAGCACGAGACCTATTTTTATAAATACTTGGAGGTTTTAACGAAGAAAATGTTTGCCCTTAGTTTATAGATACACCGGATAAAATATTGGTACTATATTTTTTTCAATCTGTTGTATTTTGTTTTTATTTATTTTACGAATCCTTGCATTCACGAGCCTTGCTTCAAAAGTCTTATTTTTAGTTTTTCATCTATTTTTTACTTCATTGTTATTACCAAAGAGTATACGCGATCAAATACTTTCTAGTAAAAGTATAGATCATTATTGTCAAGGTTAATATTTTTTTTTGAGTGAGGGAAACTAAATTTAATATCATTCCCAATATAAAAGTCGATAAAGTAGTGAATGACTATCGAAATCGAACGATTATCATTCAACAATCATTATCGGCAAAAATTATCGATCAAGTTATGGATTGGATTTTTTTCAAATCAATTGATTGTTTTAATAAATGATGTAAGTAAAATATTTAAAAATATAACGTTTAAAAAATTTATATCAGCATTCATTCGTAAGAAACTTTATTTACAAAAAGTCTCAGATATGATCACGTTTAAAATTTTGCATAGAAAAATTAACATAGATACGCGAGTGCGTTTGAAAAGTGATTACACATTTGCAGACATTTGTTCGTCGAAGAAACAAAAAGTAACTCGAGCTTTACACGCGATAGACGTGCGAAATTAAAAAAGAAATCTCAGTCGAAGCTCCGTGTGTCCTCTCTCGATCAAGCGGAGATGCCAACTACGCCACAGGCCAATCTGTCGCCGGCGTTGCCGGTCGTGCGGGAGCCCTCGTTGCCACCACGGCCGAGATCGTCGGGCAGGGCGTGCACGACGAAGGCGCGACCGACGATGCTGCGGTTGCCGAGCAGGGCTATCTGTCGGTCGACCATGTTGATGTGGGCGACTCCCTGGGCGTCGGCGAGCACGTTGCCGAGGTCACCCACGTGACGGGAAAAGTCATCGGGTCCTCCGTGTTGACGCTGTATAGAAGAACAAAAAAGAGTTATTTTTGTAAAAAAAACCGAATAATCCTTTGTTTCATGCGTTTTGAAAATATCGCCATTTATACAAGCTTGCGCGCGACTAGATAGATGTAATGAAGTAATCGCTACTGTCAGCTCTTATCCTCGACATTAATCGTACCGCTCGTGGCTTGCCTCTATCGTTTCAAGTGCGTACTTATAACAACTATTACCTTATCGGGATTGAAGTGCGAACCGGCGGACTTGCAGCCTCCGGTGATGTCTCCCTTCTCGTGCACGTGGAAGCCGTGGAGCTGATTGGGCGTCAGGCCGCTCAGGGTGCCGGTGACCGTGACCGGACCCTGGAGGCCGCTCTGGGTGAGCTTGAGATGGCCCCAGACGACCTGGCCGGTGGTCACGTTGGGATCCGGGGATATGAGGACGGTGGCCACGATGTTCTCCGCCTGGCAGGCGCCAAAGAGGCTCAGCGCGACGAGGCTCAATGTCACAAAGCCGTTCATTGTTATGCTGGGATGTGTATACGGGTCTGATGAACGAAATTACATATTATAAGGATGGACATTTTGCGTTGTAGTTATGTAAAAAAAAAGAAGAGAAATAATAGCGGCGCACCGACTTTACAATCGTAACTTCAGAATCTTGTCTTTATTTCTCGGCAAATAAATCGATTTTGATGCAACACGTGCGTGCGCGTGTTTGTGTTTCGATAGTCGTACGACTCGTGTAGTTTATTTTACTTTGTAATTAAGCGTAATTGAGAAAATATCCTATGCATCTATAATGACATCTCGATAATTTTGTAACGCTTTCGTAATAAAATCAACTTTTAAATACAGATCGAGGAGGCTTTTGAAATATCGCATCGCGCGTTTTAACATCGAGGTGAAAAAGTTGACGGAGGAATTCGGGTTTACAGCAAAAAGTTTACTAGCTACTTTTTGCAATTTCATTTTATTCAATTTATTTTTACAAAATTGACGTTATTTTTTTCTATAAAACAAGTTGCGATTTTGAATTATTCATAGGATAGTCTATACATGGTAAATACAAGTTTACATTGAAAGAAAAAAAATTGATTCACGTTGAAATATCGTATACTTTTGAATTGCACCAGTTGCAGCACTATGTGGATTGTATTTACCTCGATACAAGATAATAATATTTGCCTTGACGAAAAAAAAGGAAAGAAAAAAGACCGAAGAAGAGACGCAATGTCCGCACTCGGGCACACAAATTGGGCAAGCGTAAAAAAAAGTGAAAGTTTATTTACCTGCGCAAAATCACTGGGTAAAGTTCGTAGCGTCGCTCGTCTCCTCGAGTGACACACTGTGCTCGACTACCTCGACTCCGTTCGTTTTTATGCGTTTCGTCCGTGCGGCGGCTGACCCCTACTACCATCGCAGATCTCGATCGTTGACGCGCGCGGCGCACCGACTTCATTCATCGCCAACAACGAGGCCGACGTAATACCCATTTGTTGATGCTATACGGCTCTGGCTTATGAGAGGGAACGAAAAATCTCCTCCTTTGTTTGGACTGCCTGGGAAAAAGAACGTATCCTTCTTCTTTTTTTTTAACATTCACGTGCTAAACTAAAACATCAGATTTGCGGCATAATTTTCATTGAGGCGTTGCATAATAAAGCGTAAGATTATCTCCGTTAACACGACCATTATTACCAATCGAGTCCTAAACAAACAATGCGAAATTTAGGCAAAGGAGAAACGAAAATTTTAAAATATTTATTTTTCGACATTACAAAAAGAAGAAAAACATTTTTGACCTAAAAAAATGCATCTCATGGATGTATACGTCAATCATCGTTGACAATATCAGTCGAGTGCAACGATATAAGAAAAAAAAGGCATTAAAGACGCAGACGTCGAAGAGCGTATCGATTCACGTAGTTATAGAGGATTGTTGTCAATCTCGTACGTGAGAGATTAGACGCTCCGGCAATCAGACGCACGTATGTTTCATATATCTTTATATTACCTGGACAATTTGTGAGCGCCGATAGGAAATTTTTCATTTTAATTTTTCGAACGATTGTAGCACTTACTCCAAAAAAATTGTAAATCGTGATTCATACAATTTTTTTTCATTGGCGTGTTGTTTTTTTTGTGAAATCAACTCAAGTTTGTTTCTCTTGAATGATAAGTGGAAGTATAAATTAAGTGAGTTCGAGTGTTATTCTGAAAAAAGTTGAGGGGGATCTGAAAATAGTTTATTTGATCTGAATAAATATCTGATTGAATCTACGTACCCAGTGAATTCAAATAGATATTTTTTTGATTTAGAACAAAAAACTCAAAAATCGGAAATCATACCTTCGTTTATGAAAATTATTATTCCTTTGATACCACTGAATATGAAAGAAATAATTAGAATGTAGCTCCACCAAATTTTTTCTAATAATTATCATAAAATTAATCGTAATATGTTCACCATTTTGATCAGTAACATAGTTTTTAGTCATATAATATTATCAGGGCGGCGAAGGTACCGAAGCCAAACTATACAACATTTTTGCATGGCATAAAAGTCGTCAATGAACGATGTTATAATCGTTATTTGATCAAGTTTGCAAAAATATCAAATTTCAAATCCGGCTCTAAAAGGACTTTGTGCTATCAACTAATGACTGCAGGTGGAGCAACTCGCAACACGTGGTGCGTCAAAATCAAATTGACAATTCGCCGCTCGGTTGATCTCGCGACGCGGAATACGATAGTTTCAAAGAACGCTTAACCTTTAAATTTCAAGAAATTATTGTTTTGGGTAAGTTATTTAAAATGTATAACTTTCTTATTTATAAAAAAATAAATAAATAAACAACTAAATTAAATTTATCAAACTGATGCCTTTTATTCTACTAATTGGTTATTTTCATTTTGATAAAAATATAAAGCTGCCTATTTGTAGTCCAAACCCAAAATATTATTGTCTCGAGTAGGAGATCTAAGATATACAAACGGGTTATTTTGAATAGTGAATTGACAGCCTCAGAACTTATTGTATTAAGAATATATCAAGTCCAGGGTGACAAATAGAGCTTTCATGTAAAAGCTCTCTGCACACAGATTTTCTTTGAAAAATGATCGATTGATATTTTAGAAAAAAAAATTGAAAATATTCAGTTTTAGCTTGGTTTAGGTATCTCTATGTATTTAAGTGTTGTTATCTATTGTATAAATTAATGTTAATTTCGTCAATTGTTTTACAGTTATTTACCAGAAAAGCATCATGAGTTTAGCAACCAGTAATACTAATGCAGCAAGTGGAATCCCAGATAAACACTGGCAGCCTCCATTTGTTGTTCTTGAAACTTCGTAAGTACATTTTTAAAATCCTTGAAATGACACAGTAAAACGTTTTAAAGTTTATTAAACTCAAAATTATTGAATAATTATTATTATTTTAGAATGGGCGAAATCGTTGTTGAGCTGTATTGGAAACATGCCCCTATTACCTGCAGAAACTTTGCAGAATTGGCAAGAAGGGGATACTATCACAACACAAAGTTCCACAGAATCATTCGAGATTTTATGATACAAGGTGGAGATCCCACTGGTACAGGAAAAGGTGGCATGTCCATCTATGGAGAATGCTTTGATGATGAAATTCATGAAGACTTGAAGCACACAGGAGCAGGAATATTATCCATGGCAAATTCTGGACCAGACAGTAATGGGTCTCAATTCTTCATTACCTTAGCTCCAACGCAATGGCTTGATGGAAAACATGCTATTTTTGGAAGAATATACAGTGGCATGCCAATTGTACAAAGAATAGGATTGGTGGAGACAGATAAAAATGACAGACCAATTGATGATGTTAAAATAATAAAAGCTCATGTTAAAAACCCATAAGGTCAAAATTGTAAATTATATAAATATTATATAAGTAAGGTATTAAATAAATATTATTTTTTAAACAACATTATTACATTTGCTATATTATTAATTAATTTATTAAAATTTCATTACAGTTAATAATTTTAAGACGCAATATCTCTCAATAGTGAATAAAAAAATAGTAAATAAAGTTTTATTTATAACAATTTGATCAATGTAACAAATATGCATGAGTTGATAATGTGTGATATAATATTTATACATATTATTTGAAGTTTTAGTGAGTACATGAAAGTTTTAATGATATAAAATTGATTTTGATGTACATGTTAAGCTTCTTCATTCAGTATTTTAATGAATGCATACAGTTTCTCTTGTGGAAAAATAATTATTCATCTGTTCATTTGTACTCTAGACTACATAGAATTTCTCATTTTCCAAGTATAATAATTTGTGCAGAATACAATTATTTTACAATTTTTAATTTATAGATTCAACAAACTTTTATATCTATGCACATAAAATTGCTCCATTAAATGCATAATTTTTGAAATATTAACAAGATCGAAAAATATTTCACAAAACTTAGGGCTACATGTTAAAATGGATAATAGCAGTATAAGAAAACAGATTGTTAAATCAATAAAGCATACACATACTGAATTCATTCGTTTTTTTCAGTAATTAATTTACTTAGGTTTGTGCCTCATAATTGGTATGGGACATTTCATAATATCACAAAGTTGATTTCTAATTGGTCTGAGCTCTTCAACAGGTTTTTCCCAGTCCACAGTGTTCAATTTGTTTAATAATTCAAGCAATTCGTCCTCTTCAACATCTATGTCATCTCCAAATAATGTTAAAGATTCATATAATCTGCTTGCAGTTGCTTTTCTTACAAACTTGAATTTATGACATAAATAAATGCTCAATTGTGAAAAAGCACCTTTACCAATTGGTCCTTTGACTTGTAATAAATGACAAAATATTTTCACACTGTTCAACTGACTTTGTGTTGCATTAATGGATTTACTCTCTTGTTTTAGTAAAGTTAGTATTCTTCTCGGCATTTCATTTTCTGGGTCATCAATGATATTTTGTATGCATCCAGAACTGAAAAGTCTATCTAAGAAAGCTAAACTAGCTGAAATCATGCGATCATCACCATGACAATCTTCAAAAATATTACATATTTCTTGACACAGTGACAATAAAGTTTTTTTATCTAATTGCTGTAAGTATGAAAATAATGATAAACTTGAATGTTTTACTAAAGATTCTGATAAGCCACCAACACTGAAAATAATTCCACGGAGCAAATCTTGCACATATGGTGGATAAGATAACATTTGTATAAAAAGTGGAAACGTTTCACTCTCTGATTTCCAGTCAACAAATTGTCCATCATCATTGTTGCCAGAAAATAATACTTTGAGTTCATGGTGATATGGAATATTAGGAAGTTGACTATGGATTAAAGAATTGAAAGATGTACCAGCTTTAGCTCTGGTTCTATCAATTCTTTCAACTGCTTGCTGAGCTATACCACCAATTACTTTTGTCATAAGATTTTCAGTTAGTATGTCATTATAGCCAGCTTCATGAACCAAGTTAGTTAAATTGAATATAGCAGTAATAGTTGCCTCACGTACCCAAGATCCTATATCACCACGACTATCATTTGTATAATCTTTTAGCCCATTAAAAAGACATTTGTATAAATCTGAGACATAAGGTTTCCATTGCTCTGAATATTTTAGTCCCAATGTATCACAAATTTTTTTGAGAGAATTTATAGCTTCTTTTCTACTTTCAGCCCAAAGAGTTGTTTCTCTTGTTATGTAGCAGCATTCCATAAGTTTTAAAAATATGTCAGCTCCTTTTTCTGTTAATACTGATACTGGAAAATATCCTATTGCTTGAGAAAAGCCTATTCTGTTCAACTGATTAGTAGATTGAAGATTAGAAAGATATCTATTGATGATTATGTGTCTAGCTTCCTCATCCCAAGTAAAATAATATTCTTCCAGAAAAGCTTGATGTGCTTCAGCTGACATTGTTCGCACAGTGGGGAGTTCATTACTTAAACAGTCTTCCAGTAAGTTTTGCCAATCATCAATATGATCTTTAATATTTACATGACAATGTACTGAGGCTAACTTTTTTATAAGCGTGACACATGCTTGTTTGATAATTTCTCCACCAAGACCACGAAGTTGACCACGGTTCTTACAGGTTTTAACAATATTTTGGATTTTGTTGAGTTGTTCTGGTGAGATAATATTACTTATATCAGTATTAAGTTTCTTTTGTAAAGCTACCAAAATCTCAGCAATTGCTAGAATAGCACCATGACGTACAAATAAGTCTATGGAATCAATGTATTCCAAAAGTATAGGAAAAACATTTTTGATCATGTAATTAGCATCTAAATCAGTGAGATTGTGCAAAGCCTGAGCAGCGAGTTCTCTTATTGCTACATCCCAATGAGTAACTTTTTTCTTAATCAAATGGTTAACCAGAGGTTCAAAATATCCTTCGAATTTAGCCACATGTACACTAATTTTAAGATAAGCATTACTACGAACTCCAACTTCAAAATAATCAGCAGCTGCAATTATATCTATTCCATGTGGGAAATTTCCTTGTCTACCAACATTTTCTTGAAAAGCTGCAGAACTTGCTCTACGACAATTGATTTCACGATCAAAGCAAGTAACCACTAAAAGAGCTGGAGCTATTTCTTTGACGTGGGGTTGAAAAACTTCGGGTTCAAAAGCTCTAGCAAATGACCAACAAACAAAGCATGCTGCATCTCTAATAATAGAACCCACAGGACCATAAGCTCTAGGTTCATCAAATATCAGAGCCTGTATGACTAGAGGTATTATTTCTTCAAGTCTGTAAGATAAAATCAAACCTCTTCTACATAATTCTGCTAAAGCTAAGCAGCCTCCATGCCAGGCTGTTTCAGAATCTCGAGTTGAAAATAAATTCAAAACAAATCCAAGAACATCGTCAGCTAAATCTATTGGTAAACGCGCCGTAATTCGTCCAATACCCTTAGCAGCAGACCATCTGATTATCATAGATTTATCTTGTAAGCCTTTTATAAGATGTTCCAAAATATCTTCCATGATTGGAGGGACTTCTTGATCTTCGCTTTCTGATACTTCATAATCTTGTTCTAAAATAACTGGTTCCTTACTGCTGGACTCAACCACATTGTGAGTAAGCATGATAGTTCTGGAAGCTTTCTTATACCTCCATGGTTTGAAGTTTGACTTGAGTAATGTAATGCCAATTCTCTGGATAATTTTCATAGAAAATTTTCTCACAAGGTCAGCAGAGCTTTCATTAAGCTTACATTCAGAAATTTTATCCAATATCATTTGAGTATATGGTACGAGATCTTCTCTACAGCTATGTTTTATAACTGAAGCTATGATAGCTAAGGGTCTATGATTTAATTTATCTTTCTCAAAATTACTAAGACTCCACATTATCATGTCATCCAAATGCTTTTCTTTGACATCTGATCTCGTTAAGAAGTTAGCTAAGAGATAAATTCCAGCAATCGAGCAGGCATCCTTGGATGAGCAATACTTTTTACAGATATCAAGTACCCTCATAGTGACAGTTTGTTCTGGTTTGATTTCGCTAGTTTCAAGCCTAGACATTGCAAATGGTATCTTTGAAATGATGGACAGCCATATCAATAGCACGTACCTCGTTTGCCAGTTTTCTTTGTCGTCCATATTCTGTTTTTCGAGCATCTCCAAAACAGGATTGAAATCTGTAACTTCGTGTGGCAAATATATTGCAATTTTCTTGTAAGTCTTGACACTCATGATGATGTAAATGTATTTGAAAAAATAATGCTTCAGTGACTCGGACTCGCTTCTCTCGCGTACGAATTCTATCAACGGCGAGAGAAAGCTCTCCAAGTAAGGGTCGAGCAGCTGCGGTTGATCCTGATACTGTTTCAAAATAAAACAAAATCGGTCCATATTTTTCTCCATCGTCCTGGCCGGTAAATCTGGTGTTTGGAGCTGCTGAATGAGATGATTGATCTCGTCGAACTCCTTGAACACGCTGTGACCGCCGCCGACATTTGTGCATTCGAGATCATTATCGTTGGGACTCATTTCTCTAGGCTCAATTTGACATTTGCTTATTTATTTATGTATGCTCGCAATTCAGCCCGTGCGCGTTTGTATATCGTGCAGCTTTTAACCTCGATTTGAAGTCTCTCGTCGATCCTTCAAAAACTTGACACAAGCACACGACGATGCTCAGTAAATTCCAAATATGTAAGCTACGTCGTCACGCGCGCTGAAGTCTGAACGATAGAGCAAATCGTGATTTTACATGGAATCGCCAGAGGGAGCTTTCGATTGTTACTCAGCTCATTTGAAATTTTTGACGATGGATTTAGGTAACAAAAGTTCGGTCAACAAAATTAAAAATAATTCGAATTTAAAACTAATCAAATTTTAATTACTCTACTCAGTGCTTAAATTGTTTTATCTCGAGTTTCCTCGAGAAACTTTGAATGCTTTTTAATCACGGTCGAGTAATTGTTATTCGTTAATTTGATTTCATAAAATTATGAGAACGCAAAGATATAAATTATGAATCATCGGAAGCTAATTAAAAACTCACAATTACACGCTAGCACGCGAGCCTCGCCCTTTAAATGACGTAGCTCTGCGCGTTTAAAAGCGAGACGTTTGGGTTGCAAACTTGCAATGTAAATTCGCCGAATTCATTCGCGGACTGTATATTCTCTCCAGGGCCACCTATCGTCTTCGTTGCGAAATCACGTCGTCAATTCGCACTAAACCGTTATCTTATCTGCAACGTCTATGGCTATACAATATTCTATCGCGCACACACAGACACGCACAAGACGACAACGGGATCGACGGGGGAATATAAAAAAAAAACACCTACTCATCCATGTCTACTGCTCTGTGTTGCTGGTGCTGCTGCTCGCTCAACATCTGACATTGAAAAGTCGCCACTTGTCCGGTCAAGGCGTTTTATTTTTTTTTACAAAGTTTTTTATATAACAATTCTCGCTCGTTGAAGCGGCTTTTCTCTCTTGCTCGGGATAAACAATAAATAAGTTGTCCACAATGTCAGAGCCGACGTCATCATTGTCGGAGACGTTGATCGAGCCCGACGCCTCGGGGGTTGTAACGAGGCTTGCACAAATTCTCGAACGCTACGCTACCGATGTCATCGAGGCAGAGGATATCTTCAAAATTGGACTGTCAGGTGTGTGTCTGTGACTGAGTGTGTGTTTTTTTTTTTCAACAGACCCACATTCTCGAAGACCCCGTCTCGCGATTCTTTTTCATTGACTATTCATAATGACTCATTCACCTGCATTGTGGAAATCTAAATGAAATCTAAATAATGACAAATTTCCAACCGACTATTGTTTAAGGTTATATGGAAGAGCTTTTCCCCGCTGCAAGCGCCAAAACCGTATTTCTCATAAAGACGTAATTAGCGTAAATTATTTATCGGTCGACTGATGCAACGTAGCTCGCTTCAATCGTAAAATCCTCATTATAAACAAACACTCTTGTGTCGTCATTCACGGGATAATCGTATCATTTTTTTTTCTCTTATCTCCGGGAGGGAGGGGGATCGAAAATCCGAAATTACTCTCAGCCGAATGGTGGTTTTTTATAGAAAAGTGAAGCGTCTGATGCTATGTATGATTTTACCATAAATCTAGTGTGGAAATGGACTGATATCATTCTAAATTGAAGATTTTTGAATTTAGTTCATTCACGTTTAGGATAAATGAACTTTCAATAATATAAGTTTTCGTAAATGAGCTCTTAGTTTCATGATGATTATGATATTTTGAAAACTGAATTATTTGATTCTTATTTCACCATTAGGATCATTAAACAACAGCATCGGACGCTTCACTTTCTATAAAAACCACCATTCGGCTAAAAGTAATTTCGGATTTTCGACCACCCCCTTATCTCCGTTCATTCGACGCGCTAATTATCATTTTCTAATGATTCAAATTGTGAATAATATTCTCATGTTTTAGGTGGCTCTTTGGTCAAATTTCTATCCGAGGGTTTGCCTCTTGTAAAAACAGACTGGAGCAAATGGAGATTTTTCTTCTGCGATGAGAGGATAGTTTCCTTCGAAAATACTGAATCAACTTTTGGACTATATAGAGCAAGTTTGATTGGAAAGATTCCTATTACTGAGGATCAATTTATAAAGATTGATCCCCAGCTTACAGGTAACTAACTTACAAAATAATTTTTTGCTCAGCTTGGTTGACAATTAATTTAATTAATATTAACTTAACTGAAAAACTCAAAATTATTTCTTTTAGCTGAAGATGCAGCTAGGGACTACATCAAACAAATGACACTGTACTTTCCTCCGGATAGTATACCAAGGTTTGATGTTTTACTTTTGGGAATGGGCCCTGATGGTCATACTTGCTCGCTGTTTCCCAATCATCGTTTATTAGAGGAAACTAGTTTGTGGGTGTGTCCCATCAATGACTCTCCTAAGCCGCCTCCTTCAAGAATAACTCTGACATTCCCAGTTATTAACAATGCCAAGGCATGTATTTTTGCTGTCACTGGTGCAGGCAAAAAAGAAATGGTCAAAGTAAGTGGTATTTTCTAAATTAAAATATATTATGAAATTCGAATTTCATGTTTTTTTTCTTTGCAGAGAATTTTGAAAGACAAAGAGAATTTACCAGCTGCTAGAGTGCAACCAACACATGGAACCCTATACTGGATCTTAGACAAAGAAGCAGCTGGAGGTTTATAGTTTTCTTCTAGACTGACCCCGTGTGATTTAACATTCCATTTTGTAACTTACTATACTACACTTGTCGGGCTGCTAATTTTATATCTCTATGTAAACAATAATTTTTGTATGATATAGATAAATCAAATTAATGAAATATATAATAGGTAGGCAATTATATTATTATATTAAAAACTGTTAAATTTATGTAAGCCGCTTCTAATATTTATAACATCAAACGCGCTTTTTACACTTGAGTAATTTATGTGTCACCTTTTTAATTGGCCTAATGTTGATATTTTTTTGATTAAAAAAACGTACTTAAAGATTCTGCAAACAGTTTTTTATATTTTATTCGTTACTCTGCAATATTGCATGATAGTGTACTGTATTTTGAAAATAACTTTACCGATATTGTAACGATTTCTGAATGAAAATTTTATTCAACTCACGCTGGTTGTTTGCTCTATTGTTGTCATGACAAATTTATTTAGATCTGTTATTAATTAATGTCACGTAACGATGAAAATATTGTATCGTAATTATTGATCGTCTGTAAATAATAAAATAAAACCCAACTGAAATTCTTCGATTTACTGAATCGTAAAATCTTTTTCATAATCCCCATTCCCAAGCTGTGTTTTTCTTAACTGATAAATAGTTTAAGCGTAGGTAGGTAACAATAATTAAATGATCAGATATTTTGGATGAGTCAATAATTACATTTATTCATAGAAAAAAAACTATTTTTAATATACATTCACACTCAGAGGCATAAAAAAGAACTAGAAAAAGTTGTCGACTTGCTTTAGCTTTCGATTAATTTTTTATCTCTCACGAAAGTTACGTGTAATGTGTATCATTCAGTCCTTTAAAGCAAAAAATGTTTATTCTCTAGTAATGTTATTCCTTGTCCGACATATATATCGTACCAAAAACATACTATTTGTTCACTTCTTTCAATGTAAATTTTAACTATCTACATATAAAGCTGACAATTCGTATAAAAATTAAATATATAATTTTTGATAATTACGAATTTAATCATTTACAATAATCGATACCAATAATCAACGAAGAACACAATAATGTTATTTCTTTCCACGACTTTACTTCTTCTCAGATCACTACATGCAAACTCTCGTAAAGCGAAAGCAGCACGAGTCGATCCTTTTATACATCAATAATTTTACTAATATATAAATAATAAATAAATAAGAAGTGTAATCGGTCGTATATGAGCTCCATATTGAAAAGAAACCGGCTAAAATAAACAAGCGAGATTCGCAAGGTAGTGTATGGGCAACGTTTAAAACATCGCTACACTTGAAATAAACAATATCTTTTCTAGCTACAATGTACAAGAAAACCTTTTCTACTTCAATCTTCAAAACCGTTCTCTCGTTTTTTTCTTCTATTTATCGTATTCTTTTCGTTTCTTTTTTTTAAATAAAAAAGGAATGAATAACATTCAAACAAGCCTTGAAAGATCGACATGCGTATACAATCATATTAAACGCGATCGATTAATCTTATACATTTTAATTTGGAATTTTATTACAAATAGTAATAATCAATTCATTTTTTAATTAATTATTATCATGAAGATAAAAGGGATCATTGAGCCATTATTTATTGAATTATTTAATTTTGGACTATTGGACGAGACTGTTTCAGCTCGGATTTCATGCATGTGATTCGTAAATATCATACGATGCATTTACAAGGATCGTTGACTCTTGGCATCAAGCTAGAGTTTTTATCCCAGCAACGTATCCATCGAATAGCGAACACAATATTTGTAATTATCATATATTATTGTAAAATATTTTGTTTAAAACATCTTATAATCAATACTTATCACAGTGTAAGTATATAAATATTATATTCATAATATAACTCGATCTTGGAGAACTGAATATTCCGCTTTACATTATACAATTTGATAGCGCATTTATTTTTTTTGTTTCATCAAATGTCGACCAACGACGTTACTGATCGTAAATTTAAATAATCAGTCGATTACACTATACAGCAAGAGCGCTCAAATTGCTTTCATTCGATCTCTCTCTTCAACTCTCATTTGCATTCTTTTCGTTTTTAATTTTTTTTTTACAAATACTCGTATACTTAATCCATCTTATAGGAGTAGCACCGAGGAACTGTACAGCCATGAAATCGTGGCAGATAAAAATAATCAGATACACGTGACATTAAAAAAATTGTCTCGGTGTAGTGCACTTGAGTTTTCGAGCAAGCAAGGGACCACGCGATAGGCAACAACATCACTCCTTTAGCTATTCGAGAGAAAAAATGGCTGAATTTACTTTATTTAGTCGTCGTAGTCGAGAAGCGCCTTGCACGTGCATAATGCAACATTCGACAATGCTTCAACACATCGTTCCGTAAAAAAGACAACTAGCAAACACGCTTGTATTTATGAGAGAAAAATTGGTAAAAGGCTCGAGAGGAAAATTTTGCTTTACATCATAGTTATTATAATATATAACAATAAAATGAAATTGAGTTAATATATACGTTTTTTTCAAGAGAGGAAGAGATTAAAACGGTCTCGCCGTAACAATGTGTAGTAATATAATTAAATATATATACGTACAAGCATCTCTCTATCTCTCTCCTATTATATGTAAAATTATCTACGCAAATGTTTCGAAAAAAATTTGGGTCTACATCAGTCGGTTGTACTGGCACGGCGCACGGGCTCATATATCTGTTCGCAACTTAATTCTATATATATAATATATATCATACACAATTGACGATTGGCGTCGTCTGGATCCTACTAGCCCGCGCGCGCTCGCGTCCGTGCCTCGTGATCATTATTATTAATATTATTATTAGCTGTATATATTTTACAACATATATGTTTATCGTTAACTTGTACTTAACGTACAGTTTGTTATTCGAGCTGGATAAAACGATGTGAAATTGATAACCTAAAACGTTGTTGAGCGGCCGGGGACGTTTTCATCACGTCATGTTGACGCCCAGAGCCGATCTGACGTATTCGTAAACGACGTAACTCGTCGATACCGCTGGCGCGACCTTGAAGAAAAATGAAGAGAATACGATTATTATATTTTCCATCATCGGCAATTTGGCTTAAAAGTTTCTGAACGAAAATCGAAGTGCTCTTACCTTGAGGAAATTGGGAGTCAGGCCGCGATAGAGGCCGCGCAATCCCTCGCGCTTGAGTATGTCGCTGAATATGCCGACCATGCTCATCTCGCCATTGACGGGCGCGACCTGGGCCTGCAGTCGCGTTCTGACTAGTGCCAATGGATAGGAGCATACCTGGCCCGCCGTGCTCGACACGGTGCCGCAGAGTATCAGCAGCCAGATCGCCGGCTGCTCGCTCTTGTCGTGTGTCCTTAGATAATTATTTTTCAGCGTCTGTGGGGGAAAGTCGAAGAGGCGCTCGTTAGAAACGTGATTTTAACACGATGAAAAAAAATACATTGATTTCCGCTGGGACACTAACCTCGTAAACGGCCAAATCGATACCAGCGTAGGGCAGGATACCGATGAGATTGGGAATGTAGCCTCTGTAGAAGCTCTTCAATCCCGCCTGATTGAAGATTTTGCTCGCCGCGTCGCGTATGCCGGCGTACTCGCCGGTTTTCCTCAGCGCCAGCCTTGTCTTCATCACCTACACAACATAAACAAAAACGTAAATACGCATGTCACCTCGATTCATTTTCCTTGTAAATAAGCGTATAGACAGAAAATATTTACCTCGAGAGGATAGATGACGGACTGGGAGACGCCGCCGGCGATCGAGCCGGCCACGAATCGCTCGTATATGCTGAGCTCTCGATTGTCGCTGCCCTTGATCTGGCGCTTGACCTGCTCGTAGGCGGCGAACTTGAGGGCGGTCTCGGGCCCGATCTTAAGTACGTTGATGCCGTTGCCGCGCCAGTAGGACTTGATGCCGCCCTCGCGCATCATGTAGCGGCCGCAGCTCAGTATGTTGCAGGACTTGGAGCCGTGCACTTGCAGATAGACCTTGATGCGATCGAGGGGTGCGGTGCAGGTGCGCGACACCGCCCCCGCGACGCCACCGGCTAGCAGGTGACGCCACCACATGCCCGTGACCATCTCGCTGTTGGTGAAGTCGTCCGGCACTCCGATGTCCTCGCCAATGTCCATATACTGTAAAACAAAAAAACGCAAACATTAGTCAACCTGTCTCGAATAATCGAGCTCGGGGCAAATGTAATTTTGGGTAAATATGTGTGTACTGAACAAATTCTCGGGTGACGCATCGTCGTCGATAGCTTGTAGCATGATACCGCGTGCTCGTCGTTTTCTCGAAAAGATTTATTCCTATTGACGTGAAGCGAAGCAACAAACACCACACTGGGTATCGAAAAAACAACGGGGGAGTCGACGACGAGAAGAAAACAGATAGATAGATTTACGCGGGGGAAAGAAAATAGGCGGCAATCACTGAACATTGAGAAAAAAGGTTATAACGAGCGAGCGAGCTTGAGCTCATTATCACTTGTTGTTCAATTGTTTATTAAATTCACACATCGAAAAGAGAGAGAGAGAGAGAGATAGAGAGAGAGAGTGAGAGAGGAGAGCCACGCGTGCGTGCGAGGAACTAAAAAGCGCAGTTTTCCTCCACCGATCATCGTATCGTAGAGTATTAAATTTTTGTTTAGAGCGCTAATTAATATATAGAATCGTCGTACGAGCAAGGCCAGACAATAAAATTCAGATTTATTTTTAGCCGTGGAGTTCCGTCGCGACGCAACGAGAAAAAGGCGACGGCGGCGCACGTACACGCACACGCGCGCGCGAGTCTCGCAAAAACGTTATTATTAGAATTCCAGGTAAGTTTGCGCGCGAAAGGAGGAAAAAATCGGTGCATCAGCAGAAGAAACTTTGTATGAAATTATACACTCTCGACTTTCTGCAGCCCTCTGGTATATTTAAGTGGCAAACAGCTGATCGCGATAAGAAATCGCGCAAAGCATAATAATAATAATAATAATAATGAGAGGCGCGCCACACAGACGTTTTCAAGCGCATAATCGGAAATCACGTGTGTGTCGAAATATTCGTATGAGAAAAAATTAGAAAAAAAGAAGAAGAAGAGACAGTTTTTGCCTACAACGCATCAACGAATATATATCTTGGTCGTTATTTTAAATAAACTGCGCATCTCCTTCGAGCAGAGTTAATATTATATTTGCGCAACGGAGGCTCGAGCTCTCCGCGCTTTTGTAATCATTTCACGATAAAAGTAAGAAATTTCAATAAATACATATTATTTGTGCGCTCGATTGCCGTATACACGCTCAATTGATATTCCGCTCGTCTTTCAAATCGTATATTATACGTAGCAATTGTAATCGAAGGCGGAAAAGCCGCACAGCAGTCGGCCGAGATAAATCTCAATTTCCAAAGCTCAATATCGAAGAGAAAATCCGTGTCAACGACGAGCGATGAGGAGGAGGAGGATGTCAAAGGCGCGTCGTCGCCGTCGTCGACGATAGCCTTGCGCGCGGATTGAAATCACACATATACTGCGCGTTACATGTGTAATACTGCACGAATCAAACGAATCAAGCCTGCGTGATGATGATACGCTCGATCGAGCGACGAGATTTTCGCGCAAATCGTCATCGCGACGATGGATCTTCCTCGGAAAGCACGAGATACAATCGAGCTTTATTGCCTTGTAACAGTTGAATAAGCGACGAGCACGAGATTTTGTCGAACGTTCTCGAAAAGAGGCGTGTGTGTATTAAATTGCCATTAAAATATTTATTCCTTGTTGGTACAACGACGACGGCTCTGATTATAACAAGCGCGCGACGGTGACAATGAAGTTTATATTTCCGCGTGCGATGTACAATAGGGAAACACATAATATAAGCTGCTGCTGCTGCTGCTTCCAGTTGTTAGAAATCGATCGATACGTCGTCGGCAAAATTTGCGATTCGCGTGTCTAATGACCCTCTGTATATACTCGTTAGAGAACGATTACAATTTGGCAGCGACGAGTACACGACATTATGACAGTGCTTGGCCCGGCGCGGAGTGCACGTGATGATCACAACGCCGCGGCGGGCTTTGCTACTCTCAATTTGTATACCGCAGGCAGGGGGAAAAAGTTCAAAACTCGTTTTCAAATTGCAGCTACTACGTGCGTCTGAGTAAATTTACATTATATTATGTATATCGCATACATGAGGTACGATGCCAATTTCTCTCTCTCGGGTTTCGTGATGACAGGCGCTGAGATCGCACGTGATCATCGGTGACATAAGTCGATAATCTCGGAGCGTGTCCCGAGCCTTATGTCATCACTGCGTCTCTTCTGTACGTGTGTGCGTGCATACCGCGTGTAACACGAGTATAAAAATCGCGATATAGATATATCACATAAGGCAAAAAGGGAACAATTTCGGTTAACATCGGTCAAAATTTGCTATTATAACGAGCAAGCAAACGTTAGCGAGCGAGCGAGAGAGAATCGTTGCAACATGACATTGACATCTCTGTCTTTTAATGCTTGTTTCCTCCCCTCTTCCCCCTTCCCCTCGGCACGGAATTGAAGTCAAGTTCACGTGCAATGTGCTGCAAGCTCGCTGCTAGCATTTACGCGCGCGCGCGCACACACACACATAAATATACATGCGCGAAACGTTATGTTATGTTATAGCTTTGTAACGAGCCGAGAGCGAAAGTCTAAAGTTTCGTATACGACGTTCCAGTTTGCGTATAAATACCTTTATGTAAATCTCGAGCCATAAATCGCTGTCGATGTTATCGAGTTGATCCATGATGGTTGGAGAAAAATGCAGAGAATCGGATCGATACAGGTAAATAAATACAATCACACACGCGCACACGCGCAGGCACGCACGCACGCACGCACACCCTCACTCACACCACAGGTATATGTAACGCGACGGAGAGATCGCGCGGGCAAACAAACGGTCGTGGTATATGTCACGCACGCGAGAGACCCGATGAGCGACTAGCAGTGCCCCGCGCGCGACAACTTCGCAAGCTCGCCGCCTCTCCGCCTCGTCGTCGACGTTCGTGGACGAAAAGCCCTTATTGCTTGGCTCGGCGCGTGAGCTGACCAGCGCGCCGAGTCTACGCGCTTCGTGTATAATATATATATTTTTTCGCATACGCGACATACGTATACACGATATAGGACGAGTTCGGCTTTATGCCAGGAGGATATAATAATATACGTTGTGCATTATACATATAGGAGCGGTGCTCTATAGCGCAGCCGCTCGCTCGCGTTAGCGCTAAAGAAGGTGCGAGAGATGCATCAAGTACTAAACGTGGGTGGTGCTGTGCACATGGCTCGAGTTCGAAAAATCGATTTTTTCAAGATCGTCTCTCGCCGCGAATACCCACGATACACGCGATCGCGCGTTGATAAAGAGGATAAAGTCATCGTAGGAAAGGAAGAAAGCTGCACGAGTTTTCGCGCGACTTTTTCCCGCCAAAAATGTAGTACACGCGGCACATTGTCTATTATGAAGAACGAACTAGACTAGATGCATTATGTATTCGCTTCCGCATTTTTTATAGCGGCAGCAGTAGCAGCAGCAGTTTAAGTTAATTCGCGTGTGGCAGCAACGATCAGCCGTGAGCGAATCAAGAATGTTCTATGCGGCCTGTATGCACGCACGATATATGCGATGCACACGCTGTATATGTAATGCGTTGCATAAAAACGGCGCCAAAGCATACAGACGCACATGCATACATTTGCAAGCTCTCGTTTCATTTTCCTTTCTTCGGAATGTAACGAAAAATTGACGGCTAAATCTCTCGCTCTCTATCTCGTGGCAATGATGAGCGCAAGAGGATGTACGCGGAATAATTCTCATCTTATCTTTTACCTGCGAATTAGTGCGCGATAATACGGGTCGATCATCCGCGTGCTTGTGTGCATACCTCGAGATACAGCGATCAAAAAACCGATGCATCATCGAGCAGCACTCGTTTTTATCGCGCCGCGTGTTTACCATAAATAATATAATATCTGCGTGTATCCCCACTCGAGCAGAACGAGAAACACTCACAAGCGTGCCATGCACTCGAAGATCCTTGTACGGATACACGTTATTACGTGTCACGCGCGCGGGGTATTTCCCCAAAAAATTTAAATCGCGTATCGCTGAATTCTTCGCGGTGCGCTCGATGAGGCTAAAAAAGTAAAAAAAACGATGTTACGCACACACACGCCTATATATATTTTTATGTATATAGACGGGAAATGCATGGACTGCGACTACGTCACAGCCGCGGGCTTTTTATCATCATCATCGTCGTCGTCGTCGTCGTCGTCGTCGTCGTCGTGGAACGTAGCAGCAAACGCGTCAATGTGCAGCTGCACGTTTTTCACGCGCCTCCGAGGCAGATAACGTGCTGTGCGCCGTTCCTCGACTTTTCCACGTTGCATTGACGCGTGCCTATCCGCTTTTGTCGCGTTTATAATTGTCGCATGTGCTCCCTCCTCTCTCGCTTGTTCGATATTATAACTAGAGAGACTTTCCGTTAATGAAAGGACGATAATGACTGATTGGGTTTTTTTTTCGCGATAATGACTGATTGGACCCTGCTTAGAGATTAATGCATCGCCGTTTCGTCGGTGTAGATACTACGTGTATATAATGCATAGATGCTTATATTTGTCAGATTGAACGTTTGAGTAAGACAAAAAGCAGAAAAAACCGGCCGAGTTCAATGGTATAGAATTACTGTTAGGATTACTCAAGTATCGTAATAAACGACAGACTCTGTGTGTGTATAAAATACAAAGTGCATATTATATTCTACCTGTTGGCCTATTATACAAGCAGTGTCTAACAAGTATCATTTATGACTCTATATACTCGAGCGATTGTTACATTGAATTTATGTATACAAAAACTCCTTCCTTTTTTTTCCTTTTATAATTGTTCGTTGTAAAACGAGAAGAAAAAAAAAAGATTTTTATCAATTTCCGAGTAAAACCAGTGACGCGAACGTATATTCGTGGAAAAATTCGTGTGTTATGCAGTGTCGTAACCGAAACGACTTCGGTAATTCTTTCACCTTCATTCACTTTTCTCGAATTATCGAGTCCTTACAAGACTAAATGCACAAGTATACACAATTGAATTCTC